GCAAGTCAGTTTAACAATGTTTGATATAACATACATGTACTAATCCACCAAATCCATTTATTTCTGAAAATTGCAGCAAAAGCAAATGTTCTATCGGTACGTTCCTTTTAAACGTCTTCATGTCACCAGTCACCTCAACCATCTTTCACTCGCCTCTGAAAGGTGTTGTCAAAATATAGTGCCATATAGTGCCATACTTATAATGTACATGTACATGTACGGTACCTTTAAAGGGAATGTACAACATTTGCTTTTGCTGCAATTTTCAGAAAACAATGGATTTGAAGGATTAGCTTGACATAGCAAATATTGTTAAACTGACTTGTTTCATGTTTTGGGCTTGTAGATGCTGGAAAAACCAAGAAAACCAATCATATTATTGTAGTCTGGTTCCCTGATCCCACTTAAGATGAAACAGATCAATTTGTAGACTTTGGGAAATTGTTAGGTCAAATAATCAGTCTAGCAGGCTTGTACCCCTTCACAGGTGTGTAATCAATTGCAAAGAAAATGCGATATGAAAAATTAGGCCAAAAAAAAATAAATACTCGGTCTCTGGTCAGACCAAAGTTCCGGAATTGACGCGGGGACGCAGCTTTTTTTTTTTTTTTTTTTGGCTTTTTTTTTTTTCTTCAAGCTCGGATTGTACAGACAAGGTGGGTACTATTTTGCTTTTTTGGTGTCCTCATGTACATTGGTGTCCTCCATAATTTGCCTTGGTGCTCTTGATCATTTGCCTTGGTGCAATTTCCCATTCCTTGGTACTCTTTGGTAAAAAAAAATGAGGAGGTGCGGCAATAGAGGGCGCTGTTGGAGCTACCGCGGAACATTTTGGGGAAAAAAAAGATCGAGGCGCATGATTAAAATCGACGCGCGCGCTGACCAGAGACCGACTTATTTTTTTTTTGGCCTTAGGTACAGTTCTTGAAAAAAAGCCAGTTTTTTTTCCAATGCTGGTCGGCCGACCAGTGTTGGAAAAATACACTTTTTCTTGAAAATGTCAGCACACCAGGAGCCACGATTTTACAGGATGCTTTAGACTGTCATTCCCTAACAATTCAATAAGGTATTCCAAGATAATTTGATCATTTCGTGTTTTTATGTTTGCAAATGTTGTATCTTCCCTTTAACATTTACAATTCTTTCAATTAAACTGCTAATTTTGTACCAGAAATAAAAAAGAACTCCTATTATAGTAGGTGGTCTACGAGATATCAGAGTTTGGAGAAATAATCGGTTGTTGCCTGGATTTTATCATGCTTATCTATGCGCAGCATTTACCCGTTTTGTATGTAAAAAAAATTATGAATTCTGTACTGGTATTAATAGCTTACTCATTAATCCTGCCACATAGCCCACTTGTCAATACAGCCCAATTGCATGGGCCCTGTATTGTAGGCCTACAGTTCTCTTGATAAGAAGTCAAGCATGGTTGCCCCTTTTCATTGGCTACAATGCACGTAGCACATGCAATGAAGGTGGGGCTCTTTTCAGAGCAAACAAGAAGCCATGATAAAGCAGGACCAGTGGTACATGTACATGTACATGTACATGTACATGCACGCTACGGTACCATGTTATTCAGTAACTTCCCAAAAATAACCTAACAATAAGTGCAGTAGCCTAGTGCCAAGAACCAACCTTTGATCGATTTGAAAGTCCAGGATCTCCCACGAAATATTGTGGAAGTATGACATGACGTACGTGTACGTGACTGGACTGAGGCAGGAACCCGACCATGTGCTGGGCAACTTTTTGAGAATGACCTCCCTGCGTAAGACGGTCCCGGATGAGGACAATAATGACAAGGCGTGCATTCTCATGAACTATTCCATGCAGCCTATTGGTGAGTTGACCATGGGAACAATTGCAAGCGAAGTGTCAGACGTCCGCACAAACTTTCTTAAGAGTATACATGTACTTGAACCAAGGAACATCAACATGGATGCATTGACAGTAACTTCAAAAACTGTTGACCTTGTTTTAACAAAAAGTGTACTTTAACTTAAAAATCTACATGCTTTTCTTTTCCAGTATTATGTACTGTGGTATATCACAAGTTAAATTCCCACACAGGCCTTGCAAACGTTTTTTTTGTTGTTTTCTTGCTTCGAGGCAAAAAAAAAGAAAGTTGTGTGACCTCAGGGATGACATGCATGGCTAATCCGATCCCAGGCCAGCACAGGAACTGGCTCAGGAAAATAAAAAGAGTCATTACACCAGACATGCCAGAGCACCGGATAGTTCCTGTGTGGGGGTGTGACACTTTCAATAGGTTGTGTGTGGTGCAACACACTGCCTGCAAAATAGGCCCTGTCGCTGTGTATGGGACAATGTGTATAAATGTACATTCTGTTCATAGAATGTCAATGTGTGTTGTTCTGCTTGAGCTCCTGATTCAGTGTAGTATACCGTCAAGTACATGTTCATTCCTGGTTTTGGGCATTGACAACTCGACTTTGTCACAAAAGCCGAGTTTCATTTCCCAGCGGCAGTATTGATGTACATGTACGTCATTGCATAACTTGTTCATGTTGTTTACGAACACAACTATCACACTAGTGCCCTACGCAGTGCTTTAACTAGTGCGAGTACTGTGACTGTAACAACCTTACACATTCACTTGGAGTTGTTGGCTCTTTACCAAAAAAAAACATGTTAAAGAGCAAAGAAATAGAGGAGGACAAAAAGCCACTTGCAAATGAAGAACCTGGTAAGTTTGTATTAAGAATTAGACTCATGGTAAATGATAGTTGAATGTATTCGTGTATGAAATTTAGATGTCGTGGAATTAACAGGAAGTGGACTTGATAGCGTGTACACGTAACAACTTTATAATTTCAAGTACATGTACATGTATATATACGTACCGGTACATGTATGTGTGCTCCTGACTATAAAGATACAGGATGTAGCTTTCAACAGTTGCACGGTAAATGGGTTTACTGTGTAATATTTGGAATATTTTACAGTCAAGGTTGCTAAGGGGGCGTGGCCGCGTGGCTGTGCACCACTGAGTACAATGCTAATTACCGGTACCTAGTGTGTGTGCGACAAACCGTGACTTGGTTGTGCTGCAAGGATCAATCAGTGGACATTCTAATAAATTTGACTGACCCACCAGTCTGGAGGAGAGGTCACTGAGCATGCTCAGTCATTAACTCTACATCATAGTATGCCGTCCATTAGGATATGGTTTAGGACTAGTACACGTACATTGTACATACATGTACATGTAGGCCATCTGTCTGTATGATTTTACAATAAATTAGAATTTGTGTTGCTCGACCTTCATAACAGTGATCAATCGTGCATTATACCACAACAAATAGGCGGCCCAACTTACTTACATGTACTCTTCAAAATGTGCAGGGTGGAAACGAGATGAAATAAGGTTTATGACTGAGTCGATAAATCCATGAAAACATGGATTCAGTTTGCTGAGCAAACCTCACAAGACTTCAACAGGCTACAGCTCAAACAAAGTTTATTTGATGCCTCTAGTAATAATGATAATGAATTTCAAATTCAGAAGAAGAAAATGTCATTGGGTGCCAGTAGTTGTGTGGTGACTGTTTTCAATACACACTGTTGTTATTTTGACATCAAGTATATAAACTCAATATATGAGCCTATAATCTGTCTTATGGCAATCATGCTACCGTATGCGTCTGCCTGGCTGTAATTAAGCCGTGTCAGAATGACTTGCTGCGGCATGAAATTACACACGAGTCTATGGGAAGTAGCTACAGCCGCTATGGTCTACTCGTCAGTAATTTTAAGCCGCAGCCAAGTAAATCTGACTTAAGTTTGTCTGATGCTTTGCTGACTACTATTACTAGACTGGTAACCCAACATCATATTTATACATGAACATGCACACGAGGACAGGAAATGTCAGCAAAGTTTCTGAAATTGCATCAGTCCTTTTGATTAGAAAATCACGGGTGTGTGGAAAAAGGCACACCTGGATTTTTCTAGGCGTGTGTTTTTTCTAGGTGTGTGATTTTCTAGTTGTGTGATCTGTGGTCCGGGGAAATTCAGGCGTGCAATTATTCACACTTCTCGGGAGGCTTTTAGGTGTGCGATGGTGTGGGGGTGTGATCGCACGCCTCAAATCAGAAGGACTGTTGCATAGGGTGCTTAGATGCATTTTGAAGATGCAATCGTTCTGTAGTCTGATGGGTCTACGTGTAGCTCTCAAGTTTGCCGCCTTGCAGAATGCGGTGGATACACGTCTTCCCGTGAGTTGAGTTGAACCCTCCTCGGAGGTCAAAGTGACAACAATGCAGTGACGGTTCTCAGACTCGGTATCACAATGTGAGATATTGCTACTGTTCAGACAAAATGATTGGAGCCTCCCCCTAGGAAAAGCTGACAGCCCCTCTCAATTTTGTCCAATTCCTTTTCACAAATATATAAGCCTTTTAAAGGGAAGATACAACATTAGCAAACATCAAAAAACGAAATGATCAAATTGTCACGAAATACCTTACTGGATTGTTAGGGAATGACAGTCTAAAGCATCCTGTAAAGTTGTGACTCCTAGTGTGCTGACATTTTCAAGAAAAATTGTGTTTTTCCAATGCTGGTCGGCCGACCAGCGTTGGAGAAAACTGGCTTTTTTCAAAAGGTGCTCCTAATTTTTCATATTTAATGTAGTTCACCTGCATTTTCTTTGCAATTGATTACACCCCTAGTGAAGAGGTACAAGCCTGCTAGACTGATTCTCTGATCTTACAATTCCCCAAAGTCTATAAATTGCTCTGTTTCATCTGAAGTGGGGTCAGGGAACCATTATACTACAACTAGCCTACAAGAATTATGATTGGTTTTCTTGGTTTTTCTAGCATCTACCAACCCAAAATGTGAAACAAGTCAGTGTAACAATATTTGCTATAACATACTAACCCTCCAAATCCATTTATTTCTGAAAATTGCAACAAAAGCAAATGTAGTACATTCCCTTTAACCATCTATTCTCTCTCTCTGCCTTGCAGGACTGGAGGCCTACGGCGATGGTCGATCCCCAAAGAACGGCGCGGCGCCAGAGAACATAGAGCTGTCTGAGAGTAATAAAGAGGATGAGCCGCTCAAAGACGATAAAGTATGTCATCAAATTTGCATTAATCTTGACCTTCAAATTGTTGGGGTGTTCAAGTTGTAGTGTTCGTTCTGATTTCATTCTGTAAACAAGGGCCTGAATAGGCCTAGTAACTTGTTTTGAAAAACAAAAAATTTGTTGACGTGTTTTTTGTGTCTCTATGTTTATAGACTGTATACTTGTGACACTTGTATTGTTTGCTTGTCCTGGTCAAGTGTAGACTGTAAAATAATGGCAACCGTGCGCGTGCGTCGTGTCAATGCTTGCACCCACCCATTCATGGATACGCCCACTTACAAACCAACTACTGACGGAAATTTTTTAAAATGTGTCATTTGACTCATCTTTGGAGATGACCTTCATTTATCGTTTTCTACAAAATAACAGAATTCCAGGAGGAATAATTCTACTGGGAGTTCAGTATCATTACCATCTGTAAACCAAGTAAGCTTTTATACAATTGGGGTCAGTTACTTTTTGTACCCTGCAAAATGATCTACTCTACCTCGAACCGACAATTTCTGTTTCTACTCTAAAGCAGCCCAAGAAAGCAGAGAAGAAAGAGGGAGCAGACTTGTACTTCCACGACGGCATACGCCGCATCGACTACATCCTGGCCTACAAGAAGGGAGACTCTGAGAAGGATGTCAGGAGGGCAGCCAAGCGACATGAGTTTGAGAACAACCTCCGAGAGGAGGGCATCGAGCTTGAAGTCGAGGATCCTGAGGTAAATATATGCAGAGATAACAACAAAATTGGAATTTGAAACTTATTTAATTCACTAAAGTTGCAAGTTCTGTAATATCAAGATTGGAGCTAACAGTTTTTCCACTCTATAGACCGCTTGCAGACGCGATCGATACTTGACGCGCGACGCCATGTTATGGGACAAAATGTGCATAGATAGATATACACTTGTCCCACAACATGGCGTCGCGCGCCTTCGCGCGTCGATTATCGAACGCATCTGCAAGCGGTCTATATCTGATGCATTCCGAGCTGCTTTGCAAATTAAGTTTTCTTTCTTTTACATGAATAAGTGCTTTGCAGAATTGATCCGGATCACTTCCAAAATCTAATCAATTTGTACTTGTACCAAAGACCACCCCTACAAATTTTTTTCATGCAAATCCGTCCTTTACTTTTTGAGTTATCTTGTTAACAGACGTAACCAACCAACCAACCAACCAACCAATGAAAACATTACACATTACCTCCTCAACGGAGGGAAAAAATATAACCCTGACTCTAAGCCTTGGAGTAGGAAACACACTGAAATTACACGTACCATGCTATTGTCAAATTATAGAAATATGATTGCAATTACATGTCAGTGTTACAGTCGCTCATTTTAAATAATTATAAATGTATTGTTATAGTCCTTGAAATGAGAAATTGTATCATCCAGTTCTGACGCATCGGTAGACGTTGATGAATAATGACCAACACACATGTACACTTAATTCCCCGATCCGATCAGACCTCCATTGTCGATTACATTTTTCAGTTAGCGTACTTTTGCCATTTAATCATTCCTTGGCATATTTCATCCATTTTGTTGCATCTTCAATTTCGCTCTTGACACTTAACATTAGAAAATTCCATTGTAAATAATCCTTTTCATCAGTAGCTGCTCACTTTTATTTGCAAATAAATATAGTTACAGTAGTCTGTTGCTATGGCAGCCATGCTTTCAATGCCAGATATTGTGGCTATAACATGATGAATTTCCATCTTTTTTATGCCCCGCGGCGAAGCCGAAGGGGCATACTGTTTCCGCCTTGTCCTTCCGTGGGTGGGTGGGTGGGTGGGTGGGTGGGTGGGTGGGTGGGTGGGTGGGTGGGTGTGTGGGTGTGTGTGTGGGTGGGTGGGTGTGTGGGTGTGTGTGTCCGGACAAATCTTGTCAGCGCGATAACTTGAGAAATACTTAACATATGAACTTCAAATTTGGTTTGTGGATTGTTCTTGGTAATCCTAAGAAGCCTTTCGCATTTGGGGCCAAAAGGCCAAAGGTCAAGTTCACAGTGGCTAAAACAATAGAAATTTTGTCAGCGCGATAACTTGAGAAATACTTTACATGTGAACTTCAAATTTGGTTTGTGGATTGTTTTTGACAATCCTAAGAAGCCTTTCGCATTTGGGGCCAAAAGGCCAAAGGTCAAGTTCACAGTGGCTAAAACAATAGAAATCTTGTCAGCGCGATAACTTGAGAAATACTTTACATGTGAACTTCAAATTTGGTTTGTGGATTGTTTTTGGCAATCCTAAGAAGCCTTTTGCATTTGGGGCCAAAAGGCCAAAGGTCAAGTTCACAGTGGCTAAAACAATAGAAATCTTGTCAGCGCAATAACTTGAGAAATACTTTACATGTGAACTTCAAATTTGGTTTGTGGATTGTTCTTGGCAATCCTAAGAAGCCTATTGCATTTGGGGTCAAAAGGTCAAGTGTCAAGTTCACAGTGGCTAAAACAATAGAAATCTTGTCAGCGCGATAACTTGAGAAATACTTAACATATGAACTTCAAATTTGGTTTGTGGATTGTTCTTGGTAATCCTAAGAAGCCTATTGAATTTGGGGCCAAAAGGTCAAGGGTCAAGTTCACAGTGGCTAAAACAATAGAAATCTTTTTTTTATTCTGAGATTATAGGGATTAGGGATTAATTCATATAAAACCTACAGAAGACACTAATGCTGTCAATGAATGTTCCATGTGACCAAGGTACATGTAAGTTGATGTTAAAAGAGTGGTGTTATGTCATGGGAACAGTCACGGTTGCGGGGCATTTGTGTTTGTAAACACACCTGACTTGTTTTTTATTACGTTAACACTTGCCTACTTTCTATTTTGCCAAGTTAATGCGTATGATTCACTCAACACACTTCTTGAATTTTTTTGTTGGATTCTTATTTGAGGGGGGGGGGGGGGGTTGAAAGTTGGGAGGTCCGGATTTAATCCTTCAGTACATTGTAGAAAACTATTTTAGGAAAGCCAAACTTTCGAGCCTTTGCAGTATCAGACTGGAAACTTCCTGAATTCTGAGAAGAAAAAATCCACCTCTATGCACAAACCCAATGGCTCATTCAAAACACCCTTATTATTTAAAACGCCCTTTGCATTTCAGCAACCATCGTTGAGGTACATGTATTTTATGCTATTTGAATTCAGTAACAATGTATCTGTGTGAAATACAAGCAAATAACTCAAAGATTGCTTCAGTGCGAAGGCTCTCCCCTACAGAATTTGCCAAAACCTCCCGGTAGATTCCTAAGAATCCAGAATTGGGTAAAGAGCATGCAAGCACTCCTTACTTTTAAGAGACATTTTTTTACAGCTTTTCAAGTCATTAAAATCTGTAAATGGTTTGCAACAGTCAATTTTTCAAAGCCCAAGCAAAGAGCATTGGGTGTACAGCAGATGAAATTACGGATGGCTACGGGCAGTTACTGACCATTTTCCATATTTGTCTAAAAGTACAGATCTATCTTTTGCACTGTACATGTGCCATGTGCATTTTTAGCTTGGCAACAGCTGTCAATAATGAATTTGCCAGGTCATTTTTGTCTTAGCAGTTTTTGCATCTTATTTCATCCTCTTGATCTTGCCTGAAGAGGAAAAAAAAGACACCTCCTCTTTCACTCGTTTCGGCAGGAAGAGTCATTCACAAATACGACTTCTGAGTGTTTTGCCGTTCATTCTGCCTCTCTTCCATCATTGCTCTAGAATGTGCATGCTGCTGTTATTTAATCCAACTTTTCTTCCTTTTTAGATATTTTTTTCTTCAAGTTCATATTTCATTCATCTTCATTCTTGCATGCTGCCTGTTTTTTTTTTTTGCATTCTCACTTCTGCCTGCCGTGAACTGACCCATTCTATGCCTTCTCCCAACACCCATCGCATGAACACACCAGCCCAGTCAAGACGTAAGTATATGAGATGTAAATTCGGAGAGTGTCAAGTTCTGAACTGTTTGCAGGAGTTCCTTAACAGGCATGGTTTCAAAGAAAATTGCAGTTGTTAAAATGATAATAATAATATCGGCTTCTTGTATAGCGCTCATGTCCGTCAGAAAGTGACGCTCCTGGCGCCTTATTATTACCCTGGTTTTAGCACGGCTGCCACTGCGCTCAAGCATTAAAGAAATATCTTCCTACCAGGTACCCATTTACATGTACTGCACCGGGGTAGAGAGAGGCAATCATAGTAAAGTGCCTTGCCCAAGCACACAAAAACCATGTTCCCGTCAGGATTCAAACCCATGTACCACGGCACACGGGTCGAACACCGTAACCATTGGCCCACGGCACCCCACTAAAACTGAAAGAAACTGATGAAAAATAGAAAACACAAAAATGTATTGTATGAAAATTGTTCCTTAAACAGAAATCTTCATGAAAATGAAATTGGTCAGAAGCAGCTTGTAAAATGAAGAAAAATTATTTTTTCATTTTCCATTTTATTTTTTTTTCAATTTAGTTTTTTTTCTCCAACATCTGCAATATTCATGTCAGATTCAAAGGCCTGCAACAGTTAGGAATTTGATGTTCTTTCCTTGATGTTTCATATTTCTTGAAATTGTATTAATCTTTTCCAGTGATTTCTCTTTCACTTGTCATTAATATGCACACGTAGTTCATTTCATGATGTTTTGTCAGCCATGTACACATACATGTTTATTTTTCTTTCACCAGTTAGCCAGGAACTGGACTGCGTTTTTCTGAATACCGTTTTTTCTTTTTTTTTATCTAAATGCTGAAAATTTCTGAAAAGAGTTATGGGCAATTTTACCGCTATGAAAGGAAGTATAATGTCTTCCAGAGCCAATTAACCATGATATTTAATTAATGATTCAAACAAATGATCCTTAACTCCTATTACCTTCTTGACCATGATTCCGAGATGATGATGAACATGTACAGGTTTATGATCTGAAAAATACACATACGTGTGCGTGTTCCAGTTTATTCACTGAGTTCTTTTAAGCTCTGTTACGGACATTACATAACATTGGAATTGCCCTAAACTTGAATTAGGATGATCTTCCATATAGTGCTTAACACTGTCTTACATGATTTTATGTGATAATGATATACACCACTCATCTGTTTATGTATTTTAATTTCCCATAACTGGCATACTTGTAATGAATGATAACATCAGTGAAGCACTCATTGGCATGCCATATGCAGCATTCAATTCATGTTTATCCCCCAGGCAATTTTCCGAAAAGGAGAATATATACATGTACAAAGGTACAAGGTACATACATGTACATGTGTACATATAAGGTACATGTATGCATTAATGTTTAGTCACCCAGGTGTCTTAAAGGGAGATTTCTATTAATTGTTGTGTTTTATTTTTTTATGTTGTATGTTTTTTTATGTTTTTTTTTTAATTTTTTGGTTGCACTTATGTTGGTGGGGATCACGTCAAAGGCTCTGAACCCTTTTTCATAATTATATTAAATTATTTCAAGGACATCAACTGACTAAGCCTGCATCCCATTGGGACAGCAGACTTGGACTCATTTCAAGCAACCTGCAGTTAAAGTGAAAGTAATCCAGATGTTTGTCTGAAATTTACTTGACCCTAAAAGGGTCGGGGGGGGGGGGGGGCGGAAAAATTTTCGCGACCCGAGCTGTTATGACTTTTTAGTCTCGAGCCTTGTGCATCTTTTGATACCAAAAACATGAAAATCAGACAACGGGTTGCCGCGCAGCGAAAAATTTCCGGCGCTACGCACCGTGAAAACTGAATTTTCCCTCGTGTACACAGAGCAGAATTACCATTCGTACATAAGTATATGAATAATTAATTAGCCATAATTCCAAAACTCTTTGACCTATAGTCATGAAATTTCTTGGGTATATTCATGATGTGTTGCTCTATGCATGTACCGAGTTTCAAAATTTTTCGTCACTCGATGGCCGAGATCTAAGGGGGAAGGGAATACCCCCCCCCCCTTTTTTTTAAAAGGAAGCGGGAGGCCCATTTTTTCCCTCTGAAATGGCTGCCATTGGTCTCAGGAAATAACATAACAGCCTTATATGGGCTAGATGCAACAGATAAAGATGTCAAAATGGTGTCATTGTTGAAAATTTATCATTTTTTCAATTAAGAAATGAACTTCCTTTCCTTGTCTGTCCTACGTGCACTTTTAGCAGAATTATAACAAACTCCAAGTTTCCATGTTTACATTTGGCAATTGCATTAGTCCTGGAATTCCTTCCAGGTTTTGGTTTCATAGTTTCTCTTTATCCTTGTGTACTCGGTCTCATAATGGAGGTTGATTGTTATTTTATCAACAATTGTCAGAGCTGTGCATGTCAAATTTGTATCCCTTCAATTCTGTATGCTTAATGAAAGTTAGTGTCCCTGTATTATAAAGCCTAACCCCTTGGGTATCTTTAATAGAAAGTATCCTGAATCTGCCAAAATCCACCAATTAGGTCATGGCAAAAATGTTGGAGTTGGTAACTGCTCAATAATGGAGGTATCCTGAATCCATCAAAGTCCTGCAGTACCGCTAGGCTTACAATCCTCAATCTATCAAAATTCCTCAGTTTTCAATATGGAGGTATCTTGAATCCATCAAAATCCTGCAGTACCGCTACGCTTACAATCCTCAATCTATCAAAATCCCCCAGTTTTCAATATGGAGGTATCCTGAATCCGCCAAAATCTCCAAAAAACAGGGTATGGATTTTGATGGATTCAGGGAGGTTGCGGTTATTAAAGCGACACATTCTGTGGTATTCATTGCGGATGCCTCGAAAATGCGTGGGCGATAGAAATTCTGGGTGATAACCTCAACGGAGTAACTGCCCACTCTCTGAAGATCAAAAAAAAATTCTGTTGAATTGCCAAGTGCAGTGATGTTGCAGTATTGTTCAAACATTAGTGTACATCGTTAAACTTGTACCTAGCGACACTCCCTATTAAAACTTTCAGCAGTCAGTGGGTGTTTTTTGCACAGGAAACTTTGACTCACTCCCTGATTCAGAATTCTGACCTTGGTCTGTTGAATTCAATTCAACGTTTCGCCTGTCAACGTGCTCACAGTTCTCCTGTGTCTGTGTGCCAACTCAACCGGTCCCCACCTACACCTGTTAACACAATTAAATAGGCTTTCCTGTTCATTGGGCACCAGGCATTTTTTTTTCCGATCAATTTACTGTAAATATTGTTGGTAAATACACAAGGCTTGTCTGAACCTAAGCGGCATACACAATGCATGCATTATTATTTAGGTTTTCAAAAAATTTACCCGCAGGCATGCTCAGTGGTCCCAAAGTTGACAGTAAACAGTACTTCTAAAATGAAATGAATTATGAAAGTATTTGTAAGGAAGTCAACGCACTCTGCTTTTGCAGTTATTGGAAATTGAAAATGAAAAATATGAAGAATTTATTTCCAAAACGCGATAACCATTTGAAAAAAGTGAAAAACTTGCACGGTTATGAAACTTTAAAGATTAAAAAGAGTACAACAGCTGTTCCCAAACTTCGTTTTATGCTTTATTGTATTCTTAAATTGTGTTAAAGTATATATAACAGCTGTCCAAATTGACTAAGTGCAGCCAGGAGAGAGCCGGATTCTGAAAGGGGACAAAATGGCTTATTTTGCATTTTGAAAATAAACTCCTCATACTGAATGTTGGACCTACATACATGTATTACATGTTAAAACGACAGAGAAAAAGAAGGGGAAAAACCTGAAGATGAAAGATATTAAGCATCTTTCTGGACCTCACCTGTTGCCACAAAATGAGGAGAAAAAGTCGGCCTTTTAAGAATTGAGAGTTTTTATTTCTGGTTCTGCTGAACAAACGCTTTTAAATGAGTATACAGCATTTTGGGGTTCTGGGTTCAGTTACAGAAATATAAGACCAACTAAATTGACTGCCTATAACTTAGTTGTAGATTTGATAACTACTAAATGAGTAAACAGAATTTATATCCAGCTGTTGTATTACAGTGAGTGAACAACTAATTAAACAGGATGAAAGTAGGCTTTAGAGATGTTTGACAGAACAAAAAACATTGAGGAAAGGTAGAACAGGATCTACAGATTGAGGTTCGCCTGAAAACAAAAAAGATCTACCACTCCTTCATAGTTTGGCTTTGCCTCAAACTGCAAGCTGGAAATTTCCAACTTAAATGCTCATTTTGAGATGACGGGTGGCGTAATTTATATGGATCAACAAGATGTGAAAAGTCATATAAATCTTTACGTTGCATGTGCTATATGATTTTACTTATTAAGTAGGCTACATGTACTGTATGTGTGACTCTGTACGTACATTTGTAACTGGCCGATGCAGCCATGTGGGTTAATTTTCCTGAACTTTCAGAATTTCCTTGTGGTTTAAAGTCGTCATTTTTTTTTCACTTTCTTTGATTGTTTTGACAGGGTGTTTTGGCTTGTCTCGTTTCCTGCTTTTATCCTCAAGCTTTTAGAAATACATTACCTATTGGCCATATTTTGAGAGAACAAGGACATAAAGATTGTGGTTTAAGGGTTACAATGTTTGGGAAATACATATGCCACGTTTTACAATCTTACAAGCATATTGGGTATTGTTAACTCTACTAAAAACACTTCTACATACTCACTATTGTATATATTATTTAGACTTCTAATGAGTGTTAATACAGAGAGAGAAAAACTTGTTTAGTTTTTCTGAACATGTTGAAAGTAATGTGGTGACTGGGGTCCATTTTTTTGTGTTAAGTCCGAACTCAGTGGTTTTTAACAACTCAACCCATCAAACCCCAATGGCATGTTTTGTTGGAATCTGTCAGGATGGGTACAGTACCCCTAAACTGACAGTCTTTTACATTGGGTTGGGCACACCTCCAGAATCAAAGTCAGAAATATGTGCGTGCAGTTTCCCATATGAGTGTTGGAATTTGCCAGGATGGGTACGGTTCCTAGTAAATCATGCTAGGGAGTTTGTAAGGTTTTGGGAAAAAAAACCAAGTGAAACTCACTCAATATTTTGGACATTATGATCTGCCTGTCGTCCAAAAAGTGGTTTTGAAACATTAAAAAAGCCTTTTTAATGGCTTTTACAAAAATTCTGGAGAGGGATTAGCACATTGGGAGGAGAGGGTGGGGGTGCGGCCGCTAATAGCCCGTGGTAAGACATGGGTCGTGTGGCGGCTGTTTTAGGCGCCTCTCTATGCCTTTGGCGAACTTACATAGCGTCCTTCGAGTAAGGATGATTAGCCCCCCCATAAATTTATTAGTTTATTATAGCCCCTACTTTTTGTCATTGTCTGAAATGTTGTAGTTGTAACTTAAATGTGGATATATTTTTGACCCCCCCCCCCTTTACAGGGATCAGCCGATGGCAATACTGTCTTTGTCAAGCTCCACGCACCGTGGGAGTTCCTCTCCAGACAGGCGGAGGTCCTTAAAGTCAAGATGCCCATCAAGGTATGACGCATATATATTGCTTTGGTAAAAAAAAACAAATTAGGTTAATATTAGGTGTCCCTCAAGTGCAAGTGGAACATGGAATAATATAGTGGGTCTGAGTCCCATATGCCATGAGGCTGATGTCCTCATCAGACCTCATGGCATATGGAACACAAGACGCACCACATTTTCTGTTTCATAAGTGCGAGTGGGATGATAAATTCATATTCAAGCAAACTTGACATCCAGTAATGATGGAATATGTAAGCTGTAGGAACTCTCCAATGGTTAACTTATTTGACGTGCGTGCGGCAGGAATAGTGCAAGCATCTTAGAATAGTGCAATACGTGGAGTGCAATATGGACCATGCTATATTGGATAATATCACAATTTTGTTGCCGTGGATTGACCAATCAGGATCAGGGATTCATGTTTGCTTTAAGGATATAGTTATTACTGTCCATGCTATTCAACTAATCAAATTGTTTTTTCCTCTTAACAAGTTTTTCAATTTGTACAATGTATGTTTTCTCTTTAGGTAAAAACTGTGGTTTTTTTTCTAATTTTGCCGTCTGCAACACTCTGCAAAAAAAGGCATTTATTTGGGGTTGCGTTTATTTGGGGTTGCGTTTATTTGGGGTTGCGTTTATTTGGGGTTGCGTTTATTTGGGGTTGCGTTTATTTGGGGTTGCGTTTATTTGGGGTTGCGTTTGATCACAAACAGATCTTCCTTGCGATTAGACAGGGTTCCAGTGCCTACTTTAATGATCCTGGTAGTAGCGAATAAAACCAGCCTACCCTCGGAGAGCAGAATTGTCAGGCCGCAAATGCTTAAAAAAAAATTTTTTAACTGATCATTGTGTCACCTACATTGTAATTAAAGTTTTGGGAGACACTATATACCGGTACCAGGCCTAATAAGCCCTGAATGTATGTTAAAGTTTTGGTTTAGTTTTTAAAAAAGTATAACTTCTCCATACTTTTACGGATGTTGATGAAACTTGGATGCAGTGACCCTTGGGTGGAAAAACACAATTCTTCATTGGATTACTGAGGTCAAAGGTCATTTAGGGGTCACTAGAGGTCATTGTTCAAATATGTTTCAAACGTTTCTTTGTGTACAGAACTTGATGGATTTTAATGTAAGTTGGATGGAGTTGATCCTTGGGTGGGGGTTCATAACACCTCTTCCAAAATTGGATGTCAAAGGTCATCTAGGGGTCGTTTGAGGTCGTTTAAAAATGCACAAAATTTGAGTTTTTTAAAGAACACAAAACATATAGGGATCGACCATGGAAAAAGGCGACACACGTCATCTATGGATTACTTGTTTCATTACTAAGCGTTGGCGGATAATTTTTGCACTTTTTTATGGTTGATATCACATTAAAAAGTGAATATGGTTTTAAACCGCTAGAGAAATTGGAATTAAAAAACAAAAACCTAGGAGTTACCTGAAGGGCGCTTTGGAGTGGCACAGAGACTAATAAATTTCATTAATTTGAGAGACTCGGATGCTATCTCCTGACCATTCAAGTTGTTTTTGTTATAACTGTATTTTGTTTGTTTTTCCTTTTTCTTTTGGTTCTTTAGGAGAATGACATGGAGGAGCCAATATCCATTCTGAACTGCCTCAAGAAGATTCCCTCGCCCTTTGACCTTTCGGAAGAGTTCATCAAGCCGGAGCCCAAATACTTCACCGCTCCCTTCGTGCGTGAGCGAGAGGACGAGTAAGTCGTTTCTCCATGTTTTTTTTTTTCTTTCTGAGTTTGTGCTCCGGTGATTTCTTTATGCGCGGTTGTGAAATTAAAATATTTCTAGTATTCATTTTGTGAATGTCTTCACGCGATTTCATTGCCATTAAGGTCACTGGTTCACTTCGGACAGCCGTGGGACGTTTGAACTTGGATGTACCCTTGAGATATTTTGCTGAGATGGTCGCTGAATCCTCTAGAATTCATCATTGTGCAGGCGACCAATTTGCATGTTGTTCCTACTTAATAATAATAATAATAATAATGTATTTATAAAGCGCTTTTACAAAATAGAACAAAGCGCTGTACAAGAGAGGACTAGGATGTTATGAATAAGAAACTTTTAAGACGTTTCTTGAAAATGGTGAGAGATGGGGCGTCCCTGATGTTGATGGGAATAGTGTTCCATAATTTGGGGCCTGCTATTGAAAAAGATTTGTCTCCAAGGGATTTTGAACCTGTAGGAATAGAGAGAAGAAGTTTATCATTGGAAGATCTTAATCCCGGTCTGCCTGGTTGATACAGAGTGAGTAAGTCACACAAGTAAGGAGGAGCAATACCATGTAGGCACTTGTAAACCATCAGAAGAACCTTGAATGATATACGCTGCTGGATGGGTAACCAGTGAAGATTGGTGATGAGAGAAGTAGCATCCACAGTGCATTTGACAGAGAAAATGAGCCGAGCAGCACGGTTTTGAATTTTTTGTAGTCCTATGTTTTTCACCTTGGGTTATACCAAATAGAAGGGAATTGCAGTAATCAAGCCAGGAAGTTATAAATGTACGAACAACATGGTGACATGTGTTGTCATCGATGAATTTACGAATTCGCCAGAGGTTACGTAGGTGAAAATTAATTGATCTACAGATGGAAGAGACATGGTTGGACATAGAAAATGACGAGTCAAATATAAAGCCCAAGTTTTTTACAGTGCGAGAAGGTGAAATGCTCCTACTTGTAACAAAATTGTGACTTCACGCCCCACACGATGTAATGGCGTCTCAGCCCTGCAGTACTGAGTCCTTCAAAAACCCTCCCCGAAACCAGGCTAGCGGATTATTGGGGCAGGGTCGGGGTTACAGAATGGGAACAAAGGATTGAGCACTTTCTCTGGAATAAATTTCTTGAGAGAACTCTTACAATGTCTTGTCTTGCTTGCTCGTACAGGTTCGTCATGGAGGACAGAGAGTCTTTCTTCGGCATGTCACAGAGGAACAGGATGGTAAGCCACGTATTGATAAAAACTTGCCTCCCAAGAATTTAATACGTGTAGGTCTTGTGTAAGGTAGAATTGTCTCGGGACAAAGCGACCAACGCAATGTGCTACAGTTTTGAGTAAATGGGGTGCTGTTTTCTGGAAAAACAGTAGTACGAATGTATATGTTTTGTAAAAGCAGTTCAATAAAGTCACTTCATTCTAAATTGTAAAGATTGTAGGAATGTAATTCCCAAATTATAGCAACATGCAAACTTCCATCAATAGCCTTGGATTCACGTCTGTTCTTACTCCAACATGTTGTAGGTACAGCCCCAAGTCACTCAGAAATATGGCGCATTGCAGTCCTGATTTGAAATCACAGGCGTGTGTAAAAAGGCACATCAAGATTGTTCTAGGCGTGTGATTTTTCTAGGCGTGTGATTGTTCTAGGCGTGTGATTTTTCTAGGTGTGTGATTGTTCTAGGTGTGTGATTGTTCTAGGCGTGAGATTTTTATAGGCGTGTGATTTTTGTAGGTGTGTGATTGCTCTAGGTGTGTGAGTGTTCTAGGCGTGTGATTTTGTTTAGGCGTGTGATTTTTCTTGGCGTGTGATTTTTCTTAGGGTGTGATTTTTCTAGGCGTGTGATTCTGTGGTCCAAGCTGTAACAGAACAATCTGGGTTTTTTTTTATAATATTCATCTTGGTTTTTTCTCTTCACCGACGTCTTTTTTTTCTTCACACAAGTTAAATTATGCCATAAATGTATGCCAAGGTGTTCGTTACAGAGGGATTCAGGCGTGCGAATATGCCCACTTCTCAGGAAGCTTTTAGGCGTGCGATGGTAGAGGGGTTTTCAGGGCGTGTTGCCTGTCTCTGTTAACGTGCAAAAACATCGGCCGTCCAGTTGATGAGTTTTCCCTTGCACCGTGTTCATGCTTGCCACATGGTAGATAACATTACTATCGTGCCGAGGCTGGAGATGTTACGGAAATCTGTATTGACATATCTTCCCCTCGGACTGCACTATAACAGTCAATGATTAATCTTGCAAGGCTCCATATCCATGGCGATCACTTAGCAGTGAACAATGTCTAAACGCAAATGCTGTCTTAGATGAGTTATCCGAGGTAGTGATTCATTAATGTGGCTGCTTGTTTGTTAGAGTATTGGGTTGTTTGTGTGTTTTTTAAGTTGTTTATCGTCACTGTTTTCATAAAGAAAACAGTGGCCTCAATAAGTTTAATTAGCCAGAGGTATTGGAATTAGCCAGAGGTATTAGAATTGAAGGCCTTCGGGCCACAGTTTTTAGGTAAACTTTTTTAATTCCGGGCATATGCCCCTGGCTTTCGTCATGTTCGTTTTTGTTTTCTTGGTTTTTGGTTTTCTCTTATTTTGTGAATGTTTGTTGTTTGTGTTTTTAATGCCGAATAAATAATAATAATAATAATAATTACTGTTGGTGCAAGAAAACTGTAATATGTCGCCATATGGACACACTATCTAAAATAGTTTGTTTTTTTTAGGGATGGAGACTAGTCTTATGATATTAGACATAGTTACTAGATAAAAAGAAGGGTGTAAATATTGAGAGAAAAAATGAGTAACCTAGCGCTTACAATTTTAAGGGGAAAATGATTTAATCAAATCTTTAAATTTAAGTGTGTAAAGTGTGTAATATGTTTTTGTCTTACAAGGTATTGATATCAGCTACCACATAAGGCCAAAAAGTCGGTCTCTGGTCAGCGCGCGCGTCGATTTTAATCATGCGTGTCAATCTCTTTTTTTTCCAAAATGTTCCGCGGTAGCTCCAACAGCGCCCTCTATTGCCGCACCTGCTCAATTTTTTTTTACCAAAGAGCACCAAGGAATGGGAAATTGCACCAAGGCAAATGATCGAAAGCACCAAGGCAAATTATGGAGGACACCAATGTACATGAGGACACCAAAAAAGCAAAATAGTACCCCCCCCCTTGTCTGTACAATCCAAGCTTGAATAAAAGAAAAAAAAGCCGCGTGGCCGCGTCAATTCCGGAACTTTGGTCTGACCAGAGACCGAACATTTTTTTTTTTGGCCTAATATTGATATTTGTCTATTTATTTCTCTCAGGTGCACGAAATCCTGGAGAAATGCCGATATGACCCAGACAACAAGACAAAGTTTGGTGAGTCCCCCCCCCAAAATGAACATACATGTATGTGTAAATGTGAACTTGAAATAAAATTAAAAATCTGACATCATAGTGAAGTTGGACTAAAGCCAGGGGAACTACTGCGTGGTCCAAGAAAACATTTCAACTTTTTCAGATGCAGATTTCTGGGAATTGGGGAGACATGTTAAAATTGTTTCAAGATATTCCTAAACTACAGCATCTTTGTGGTATATGGTGAAAACGGCGCTGGATCCTGTTTTTTTTAATTTACAAAACGTACCGAACATTAATGAACAAAAAGTTTACCAGTTATTTTATTTCGGCCATTTTAATTCCCGAACGTCAAACGACCCATGGTCTCATCGTGTTTGAAGAGCGATAGGTGGTTCTTATTTTTCCAAGGAACAGAAGGAAAAGCCGCCCGTTAAGAAACATTTTTAAACGTCGAAACGGCAAAAAATGGGAAATAAATGTGTGCATGTGTACAGTCCAAATACCAAATTGGCATATTAATGACCTGGTGTTTTTGTGTTTGGCGTTTCTCAACAGGCATTGATCACATGATTAACAACGGTTCCTACGTCGCCGCATACCCACTGCACGAGGGGGACTACAAGAGCAAGCACTCGATGCTCACCCACGGGCCCCAGAATGACCGCCACGTAAGACAATCAAGACTACATCCTCCAATGAATATCAAACAAAGTTTCCGTTTTTTTGTTGAAGCATTTCATTTATATTGCACAGGTATTAAGTTAAAATGAACTGATGCTGATCTGTATTATCAGAGACAAAGACATGTTGTGATCAAAGTTTACTTTGCAACTCACATTTCTTTAATAACAACTCCAAAAGCAATTAGCTAGCAACTGTGGAATGCTGTGGCCTCGTGGTTAAGGGCATTGGATTCGTGGTCTGCGGGTAAAGCTGCAGGTTGTGGGTTCGAGTCCAGCCTGGGGTCGTGGTGTGTGTGCCCTTTGGCAAGGCACTTTGTCACTCATTGCTTCTCTCCGCCCAGGAGTAAATGGGTACCTGTGAGGGCAGAGATGGTTATTGTGATTCTGTTTATATTTCTGTTCCCATTTGCAATAATATCTGGATTTCGGGTTTATTTATCCACCCTGTATAGATTTAGAATTGATTTTAAACTGCTCTAAAAATATTACACTTTAAACCTGATGAAACAAGGCATTCCTTTGCACATGTAAGTGTTATCACTTGTTACTTGTAACCTTTTGCATATATCCATTAAAAAAAAGCATCCTTCCGCCTTCCTCAAAAAAGATTACCATATCAATCATAATTGATCGAAATCTTGATGTTGTTTCTTTTGTTGCAGTTGCTGTATGAGGAGTGGGCTCGTCCAGGCCGTTGGTACAAGTATCAACCCCTCGACCTTATCAGGTATTTACTATCATGTGACCGTCTTTTATTTTCCACTTGTGTTTTGGCAACTGACTTAAGCCGCCCTTCCGTAAGTGGGATCTCGGTCCTTGTTCGGTTCGCTGAGTACTGTTGACCAAATTAAGAAATGGTCTCAAAAGACTAAAAACGCCTTTTATTTAATACATTTCAACAGCAGCGCAAGCGCTGAGACAGGACAGATAAGACTTGGAAGTTGTGGAAGGAATTTGCAGTTTCAGAGGTGGGAGGAAAACCCCAGAATGATATTCTAGGGAAACCCATGGAATCGGGCAGGGGCTGAAAACCCAATCCGCATGTTGGCCCAACCCGGGTCACAGTGGTGGAAGGCGAGGAAAATACTGCTTTGCCAAGGTTTTTGTAAAAAGTTAATGAGACCCCAAAAGTTTCGTGAAACACAGCAGAAAAAAGCATGAGATTTGTCTTTACTAACGAAAATTATATATTGAAATGCGGTCTTAAAGTGTTGACGAGAATTAATTTCATGTCAAAGAACCTGACTGTTTTGAACGATGATATTTAATACTATTTTAATATAACGTGCACTGGACAAACAGTGAACTTTTAACCCGAAATTTCACAGAATTTATTTGGGATGAAGATCGAATGCATCGCAATACTACTTAGTATGAAGGAGTGAAGTGCCATATGTTATGAAACAGTACAAATACTGGACCCAATAGGCTGGAGTACCGTTGAAATTCTACAAATTACTAGAAGTATTTTTCAGCGCTTTACACAAGTGAACTCAACCCCTCCCCAATCCATTAAATGTTTGATCAGTCACAGACAGTCAAAAATCAATCCTGTTCCCCTTCCATGCTTTTTTACAAAGGCTAATCACCAACAGTCAGATCAAATTTCTTGTAGGCACTGTGACAGTCAAATTCCATCAACAGACAAAAGCAGGCCACTGGTAGGAACAGCTGGCTTATCAGTCTCCTACAGTCAAAGCACAGCTCTTATCAGGTTTCATAACAATCACAGCCAGTCAATCCTGCTTTCTGAAGGCAGGGGGCACTCAACTGATACAAACAGTCACTTGATTTATTTTGACTGCTGGGCTGGCCTTGTTGAAATTGCCAATCGGATAGGGAGGTTAGAATCTATCTGTGGGTTTGGAGATTTTTATAGAATTGAAGAATGTATCATTAATCCTAACTCCCTTGGCATTTTTGCTAGGATCTAACCTCAATCCTGCAAAATTCTCCAACTGCCTCCATGTAAAAAAATAGCATATGGCCTCAATCCTGCAAAATCTTCCATTTTTTCTTGAATGTGGCACTTGGAGGAGTGACCACTGCCTCAATCCTGCAAAATGCTGCGGCAATCACTGTCAATACATGTATGTCGAGGCAGAGCCAGTGACATCCTAGAGCAGTGCGGAGGATTTCAAGTATAATCTAGTCCTAAATGTATGCATGGCTGAGCATAAACAACACAAGGTCCGGGCCAAGACCTTGACACAGTGCATCCTCCAAAATCAGCAACACACTTTTGCCGTGTAACCTCAATCCTGCAAAATCCTCCATTTTGTAAAGAGGATTTGGGAGGATTAGGGTTAACTTACGGTATTTGGGCCTTGACGCCCCTCGAAACGTTTATGTACAAAAGACTCAGCCATTGTGTTCCTCCACAGTAATGTTTTGGGGTAGTTTTTTTTGAGAAACTAGTGAAGCTCCTGAAAAATGTTTTGGACAGTTGGGGTTTGATACTGAATGGGAGATTGTTATTGTGACCAGACGTGAATTTTTTTGTAGACTTTTGTCGAAAATCAGACCTTTTGTATCTGAGAGAAAGAGTATAGAAGAAAATGCCCCTTCCAGACCCTTCGTCAAATTTGTACACCTTTTTAAAAAAAATTCAGTCTCATCCCAAATTTTGTTGTTGGTTTCAGCGACTACTATGGAGAGAAGATTGGCCTGTATTTCGCCTGGCTGGGCTTCTACACTCAGATGTTGACCATCGCAGCAATAGTCGGTCTGGTTGTGTTCCTGTACGGCTGCATCTCCTTGCCCTTTGACCCAGTGGTGTAAGTCCACTTTCAAGTTCCCCAGTTTATTGCCACTTGCAACTTCAGTAAGCTTTTTGTCACCAGGGGCGTAAATCCAAGGGGATGGGGTATACATATCCCAACCCCCCTTCCCCCTTACTTTTTGACCGGGGGGCTATTGGATCAACTCCCCCCCCCCCCCCCGCCCATTTTTCGTGGTGAGAAACATAAAAAATGCGGATTTGAGGTATTTGTCGCACTTCCCAAAAACCAAAATGTATTCAATAACACTGAAAACGGAGAGAAAAAGTAACAAAGCTTTGAATGTGCCGTTCTGACGATTAATAATTTTGTTGCTTCAAATGTAAAAAAAAAAAAGCGAAAAAAAAAGCAAACTATCCTGTGTATGTGTATATTGTCTTCTAACAGCCTGCAAGATCAATATTAGGTTTTGCCCTTTACCGACGTAAATGTATAAACACTGTCTACTCCGTGTGTTACCTCCCGATAGGAAAATCACTCGGGTGGGACTCGAACCCATGACCTCCTGCTTTCTAGTGCAGACGTCTTTATACGTTGGTGAAGGGTAAAACTTAATATTGATTGACATCACCCCGACTCAAAACAAATTCCATCTTAGGAATAGCCCACACGATGTTTATTGGATAAACTTTTTGGGATTTCATCTCTGCAATTGTGACCTACTGTGGCAAAATGAGGAATGTCCCCCAAAACCATGTTTTGAGTAATATCAACGCCTGAAGTTGGGTACACCCAAAAAAAATTGTCAAAATCAATATTGTTTTTTTCTTATTTTTGAGTAGCCAAGGCATCCAATATTCACACTATGTGTTTTTGTTGAGAAAAAAATATCCCCAAAAGTTGGAAACTGAAGAAAGATTTCCACTGCTGTTGGCGGCGCAATGCGTATTTTTTTTTTTCAAAGCCATTTTCTCCAAATGGGGTTGGCGAAATTTGGCGGGACACTGTTGAAGTTCCTGCGGCATAATTATGTCAAAATTGTATTCAGCCTCAATCCTCCAAAATCACCCGTTATTTCTTGAATTTGTTCAGTGGAGGGGTGACCATTGCCTCAATCCTTCAAAATCCTCCAACGATCACTGTTAATGGGTTGAGGCAGTGCCGATGACATTCAGAAGCAGTGCGGATGATATCGAGCATAATGCAGGGCTCAATTATGCATGGCAAAACATAATGCAGGGTACAGCCTACAAACTCGACGCCACATCTAAAAAAAGTAAAACAGCATCGATACGTATACATGAACATGATGTTCTTAATATTTATAAAGCTCATTGTGCACGGAAATCCTGGTCAGTGAGCCATTCAATTCCCAATCAATGCACGTAAATTTCAACAAAGGTGTGTGCATGCACGTCCCGAACGGGCACATGCAATTTCTGTCGCATGTAAAAAAAACCTGGTCCGATGCGTTTCAAATCTTCATTGAATCCTATTGTGAATAAGAGAGTACTAAATTATTAGAAAATGCACAGCTAAGCACCGTCGATATAAGAATCTTCAGGAATCAATATATCGGAAATCCAATATCGAGAATATTTGATATTATCCCATAAATGAGTCCAATTAAAAAAAAAAAAATAAATAAATTGTTGTCAAGGAAATCTCGCACCTGTTATTAATTTGTGTCGTCCCCCGGAATTTTAATGTATCGAATAATTGTGTAACATGGATATATCGACGGTGCTTATGCACAGCCATAAGATTGTGTTACCTTGGTTTTTTTTACAAACTCTTAATAGGTCGGAACTCTGCGAGGCCAAAAGCTGGGTGAACTACACCATGTGTCCCCAGTGCAACAACCGCTGCACCTACTGGATCCTGGAGTCGAGCTGTTTCTACTCCCAGCTCACGTATCTCTTTGATAACGGGGCCACCGTCTTCTTCGCAGCCTTCATGTCTCTTTGGGGTCAGTGCCGACATTCTTTCGTTTCCAGTAACTTTCAACTTTTTATGACCATCACACAGATGGACATTTGAAGATTTATTTCCAAAGCTCGAGAATCAAGCTGTCACATTTTTATTATTAAACTTAACCCTAACTCCCTAGGCCTTTTTGCTAGGATGTAGCCTCAATCCTGCAAAATCCTCCAATTGGCCTCATGGAAAAATAGCATATAGCCTCAATCCTGCAAATTCCTCCATTATTTCTTGAATATGGTCCATGGAGGGGTGACCACTGCCTGAATCCTGCAAAATCCTCCGACTATGACTGCCAATAGGTTGAGGCAGAGGCAGTGACATCCTGGAGCAGTGCGGAGGATTTCAAGTATAATCAAGGACTACATTTATGCTAGGCTGAACATAACACAAGGTCCGGCCCAAGACCTTGACGCAGTGCGTCCTCCGATATCAGCAACGCACTTTTGCATGCAAAAAGGATTTTGGAGGATTTGGGATGGTTAGGATTAATAAACATGCGAATTGTTCACTTTCTCAAATGTATTTATCGTGTTTTGGTATAAATAGACTCTTCATTTGTTTTTAATTCAAATGACATGTTTTTTTGTGTCGCTTAAACGAGCTTTTGGGAGACACTTAACTAGTCCTTAAGTCTGTATGGCCGTAGACCTATGGACCCGTATGTTAAAGTTTTGAAATAAAAAAGATATTACTTCTGCGTGCTTTCACGGATTTTGATAAAACTTGGATGCAGTGACCCCTGGGTGGGAAGACGCACTTCTTCATCAAATTACTGAGGTCAAAGGTCAGGTAGGGTCATCTTTCAAATATGCTTTAAACGTTTCTTTGTCTATCGAATTTGATGGATTTTAATGTAACTCGGATGGAGTCGATCCTTGGGTGGGGGTTCATCACAAGTCTTCCAAAATTGAAGGTCAAAGGTCACCTTTGGGTCTTTTGAGGTCGTTCAGAAATGCACAAAATTTGACCTTTTTTTTAACAACACAAAACATGTAGGGATCGACTGCGGAAAAAAGGCCGCAGATGCGGTCTGCGGACCACTTGTTCAACTTCAAGCTTTAGAAAATCATGGATGCTGTAATGATGACTGATTCTTGTTGATGTGTGTGTTTCCATGTAGCCACTATGTTCTGTGAGTTTTGGAAGCGTCGTCAGAACGAGTTGGACTATGACTGGGACCTGTTCGGCTTTGAAGAGCAGGAGGTGAGGCTCGCTTACATTTCTTACATTTGAACGTGATCAATGTGTGACCAATCTGCTGAATGTTAAATAGAAATATATGCATTTGACAAATCTAAAGAGTTAATTGGGCTGACGTTGCAAGTTCTTCTCAAAGGGAATGTACAACATTTGCTTTTGCTGCAATTTTCAGAAATAAATGGATTTGGAGGATTAGTACGCTATAGCAAAACTTGTTAAAATCACTTGTTTCACGTTTTGGGCTTGTAGACGCTGGAAAAAAAACCAAGAAAACCAATCATGTCCTTGTAGTCTGGTTCCCTAGCTGACCCCACTTAAGATGAAATGCAGCAATTAATAGACTTTGGGGAATTTTAAGGTCTTAGATTCGGTCTAGCAGGCTTATACCCCTCCACTGGTGTGTAATCAATTGCAAAAAAAAATGCAGAATAACTTAATATGAAAAAGTAGGAGCAGGTTTTGAAAAAAAGCCAGTTTTTTTCCAACGCTGGTCGGCCGACCAGCGTTGGAAAAATACAATTTTTCTTGAAAATGTTAGCAAACCAGGAGCCACGATTTTACAGGATGCTTTAGTCCCTAAGAATCCAGTAACTTATTTCGTGATAACTTGATCATTTCGTTTTTTGATGTTTGCAAATGTTGTATCTTCCCTTTAAGAAGCAAAACGACGGAGGTACAAGATAAAGAAAAGGGATTAATTGGGCGGGGCACACCGGAGTAGGTGAAGATCACAGAGGAGGGAGTGGAAGGACTAACAGGGGACAGATTAAATAGTGGAGAACAGACCAAGAGGATTTTTTAGAAATATTTACGTTTACAGGCAGATGAGATCATTTGCTGTTCGTGCATTTTGCTTCTGAACGATACCATAGTAACACACCACTCAAAGTCCAAAAGAGATTGTTCAAAACCTAACCCGTTGAATGTTCAGCTCAGTGGGTACTACACTTCCGGAGAAAACTGTAGAAACCACCTTTTAATGACAAAACAAGATTTTGTCCACTATAACTCTTTACTCCAAAAAACATCAGTCAATCGACTGACCGTTTAAAAATCACCTACATTTCTTGATTTCTTCGAAATGACAGCAAGCCAGACGGAATAATTTCACGGGTCTTTAGTACCAGTACAATCTTTACTCCAAGTAGGATTTTTTGATAGTTACTGGACAGGCCACTTTTGCGGTTAAAGGGAATGTACATCATTGGCTTATGCTTTAATTTTCAGAAATGAACTATTTGAGGGGTTAGTATAATAGATCAAATTATTGTTACACTGACATGTTTGAAGTTTTGTTTTCGAAAATGCTGGAAAAACCAAGAAAAACAAAAATGTTCAAGTAGTCTGGTTCCCTGACTCCACTGAAGATGAAATGGATCAATTTACAGATGCCGGAAAATTGTACGCTAAGGGAACCAGTCTAGCTGACCTGCACCCATTCATGAACATAAAACCATGTAGCAAACAAAATTGGACTGAAAAAAATGGTAAATTTGGAGCAGTAGTGAAAAATAGTTAGGTTTTTCCTACAGTGGTCGGCCGACCACCGTTGGAAATGTAAACAAAAATATAATTTTCTTGAAAATGACTTCACACCAGGTGCCATAATTTTACAGGATGCTTTAGACTGTCATTAACCAACATCCTGTAAGGTATTTCGTAAAAACTTGGTCATTTTATTTTTCGATGTTTGCAAATGTTGTATTTTCCCTTTAATGCAAATGATCCTATATGCCTTTTTATTTATAAGCGTCTTTGACATCTTGAAACATTTGCCACAACAATTCTCTGAATTGAAATGCGTTCAATTTTTTGCAAAGTTGCAGCGCCGATACTTGCCATGATGCCACACTCGCGTTCGCGTTCCCTTTCAGGCTGAGTGTAACAATTAATAAATGACAACGTTAATCTCCGGGGGGGGGGGGGGGGGGGGGGGTTTCCGCCAAAATCTTGTTTTTCTGATTATTTTCAATGACTTGTTTTTCAGGAAAACTGCCGGCCCGAGTTTGAAGCTCTTGCCCCAGACAAGAGAGTCAACCCAATCACCAAGGTACGTCTTACGTTATAATCATTTTGAAACTAGAGAACAGGTCACTCTAAAAAAAAATATTCGAAGCAAGGATTGCTCAGCAGCTATCAAAATCAAATAAAAAGAAAAATTTATGCAAGAATTCTGTCAGAGGTTGGAGGATACATAGTGATGCCCCTGAACGGTTGTTAAATTTGTCAAAGTCCCCCCCCCCCAAAAAAAAATGTAAAAGTCGCCTTCCAAGTCAGAAGATTTTCAGTTGACCTTCAAAAATATTCTCAAGCTATAATCTACAAATGTTATTCCTAAAAGAAAGACAACAAAAATCTGAAAATGTTTATGCCTGTAGTTTTTGCTGGTCTCTAAGGACCAGCCAGTTGTTCTGACTGAGCCACTGACTGACTCTAAAAACAATATTTGAAGCAAAAATTACTCAGAAGCTATTAAAATCAAATAAAAAGAGAAATTTATGCAAGAATCCTGTCGGAGTTTGGAGAATACATAGTGATGCCCCTGAATGGTTGTTACATTTGTCATAGTCCCCCCCCCCCACAAAAAAGAGTAAAAGTGGCCTTCCAAGTCAGAAGATTTTCAATTGACCTTCCAAAATATTCTTGAACTATAATCTACAAATGTACCTCCACATTTCATGATATTTGGATACACAGATGTCTTTAGCAATGACCATGGTTATTCCTAAAAGAAAGACAACAATAATCTGAAAATGTTTACGCCTCTAGTTTTTGCTGGTCTCTAAGGACCAGCCAGTTGTTCTGACTGAGCCACTGACTCCCTGACTGACTCCCTCCCCAACTGACTGACTCACCGATTGATTGATCGACTGAGTCTCTGAGTATTGTCCCGACCTGAGATTATTTTTTAATAACTTGAAAGAAATATGTACTGCTGAACATAATCTACAATTTTCCAGGACACCTTTTATCTAAGAGAAATACTGGACCATGTGACATGATTATTTGCCCCTCGCTTTCATTTGACTTAACCGAATGCTTTTGTTTTGTATTAGGAAGCCAACGTTGAGCGTACTGTCTTCATCAACAGAACTTCATCTCATTTCTGCCCTTTTTTCCGTTCACTTACGATTCTCTTTCCCCAGTTATTCCTCATTCATCATCCCAAAACTTTTACATTTCTTTTGAAACAAAGCGATTCCATAATGTGGATTTTTGTTTTGAAGTCCAAACATTTTGGAGCTGTGCATACTGCTTAGTCTCAGCTGTGCTTCGACAATTTAAATTACTTGTGGATGGAAAAAAAAAATATTAATACAATTTTTGAGTCGGACAAATTGATGAGTTGGGGTGGTTGTTTTCCCCCAGCATGATTGTGGTTCCGCAACAATAAAGGCCTCCTGACCTTGACTCTTTTAAAGCTTGTTTTAAAAACTTACCTCTTTATTCAAGCTTATCATTGTAAAGGGAATGTACAACATTTGCTCTTGCTGCAGTTTCCAGAAGTAAATGTAATTGGGGGATTAGAATGTTATAGCAAATATTATTAAACTGACTTGTTTCACGTTTTGGGCTTGAAGATGCTGGGAAAACCAACAAAAAAAAGTCATGTTCTTGGAGTCTGGTTCCCTGACCCCACTTTAGATGAAACGGAGCAGTTTGTCAACTTAAGTCAGATAATCAGTCTGGCAGGCTTGCACCCCTTCACAGATGTGAAATCAATTACAAAGAAAATGGAGGAAAACTAGTTATGAAAAATTAAGAGCAGTTTTTGAAAAAAAAAGCCAGTTTCCTCCAATGCTGGTCGTCCTACCAGCGTTGGAAAAATACCATTTGTCTTGAAAATGTCAGCACACCAGGAGCCACGAGTACAGGGTGCTTTACAGTGTCATTCCCTAACCATCCAGTAAGATATTTCGTGATAATTTGATCGTTTCGTTCTTTTGATGTTTGCAAATGTTGTATCTTCCCTTTAATTCACTCGGACCCCAGGGCAGTGAATAGGCTTATCTAGATACCAGCGCTTTATAAGTTTATATTATTGTTATTATTACTATTAATTGTTCCATTCTATTTGCCCACGTGGAATAATGTCTTCTTTTCCTAGTTGTACGAACCCTATGTTAAGTTTTACCGTCGATTTCCAAGATTCATGGCGTCCGTCTTAGGGATCGTCTTCATGGTGAGATTGAAAGCCCGACACTGGATGGCTGTAGTTGTTTGGATATGTGTGTTTAACACTTGTGTAACCACTTTACTCCCTCCCCAAAAAATTAATTTAGTTTTCACTTAACACCAATCCCACCCCCGTTTGAAAACAACAGTAACTTTTCAATTGCAGCTGCCCGAGCCGTATGTCAAGTTTGCTCGTCGATTCCCGCGCTTCATGGCCTCGGTCGTATCCATTATGTTCATGGTGAGGCACGTGCTGAACAAGAAAAACGTCGGTGAAGAAGCAAAAAAAACAAAAGAGATGAACTAACCACGCCTGTCTTTTCTCTTGTGAAGAAAAAAAAAAAAGAGAGAGATGAAAACTAACCACGCCTGTCTTTTCTCTTACTTGTTGCCAATCATTTTCCTTGGCCCTGGCGTTTGTTAACTTCCACCCGGGACACCAGGTTCCGGAGCCCTACGTCAAGCTACGCCGCCGCTTTCCCCGTATCACTGCATCTATTCTGTCAATATTGTTCATGGTGAGAGTAGCCTCATGCGTAACCGTAACAAAAAAACCCATAAAGGTTGGACGGTGGAACAGTGTGACAAGCAAGAAGTTCTCTGGCTAACAGAAGCAAATGGGCAATCAAAAATCTCTAAAGTTAATGTGGTGTGCAGAAAACCTTGATAGGAGAGTCATGAAATTTTCAAATTTTTTTTTGAATTCTGTCATTCATATAACCTTGCATCACAAACATGAGACTTTTTATGTGATTTTGAGGCAAATCAAATGTTTCGATTTTCAATAGTTTTGTCGCGTCAGAGCATCAAGGTCGTAACGCTATTCTGCAGCAAAGTCATATCGCGCGTGAATACGTTCTGTGCAACAAGGGCGTATCTCGACATCCTTTGACTTTGCATGTACATCCAGGTTATTTTAAGTGAGCTACAACCTTTTGACGTTGTAAAACATCTGTTTTGCATTTATGCCATTTTAGGAGATATGACCTTGTTGCACTGACGCAAGTATTAAAACAGATCGTGAAAGGTTTTTTGTTTTTTTTTGATTTATAACCGTTGAATTTCAAACCAGCTGTTCAATCAGACTGAACCAAAATGTCATCTTCAACATTGATGCCAAAGATTCTAAAAACAACATTGAATAACTTTATGAAAGCTATCCATCTACGTTCAGTATTTTAAATAGATTAATATGGAAACACTCGTCTGTCATTTGCATTTCAACTCTAGAAACTTTGCCCTGTTTCAGAGAAACTCTGTCGTCTTGTCACAATACACTGTCCATTTTTTTTAATGCTATTGAATGCTACTGAATGCTACTGATAACTTCCACGAGAATGCCTCTCTAAGCCTGGACATGTACTTCTGCCGCTTTGCCGATTAACATACAAGCTTGTGGTATGAGTTTCTGCACTGTCTATAGGGGGCGCTGTTGTATGACGACGGTTACTTTTTTACTCCTAGTTTGTGGCAGTAGTGTCTTTGAGCTTCTCTCTCTTGTCAATAACCTGCGATGTTAACCTTTGACCTTTTGCACAGGACTGTCGCCCTGACCCTACTCTTTCCCTGTGCACGTGTTGGACCTGTTTTCAGTGTACCAATCTTCACTTGTGGTTGTCATGTATGCTGGCTAAGCATTTGAAAATGTCTTTCCTCTGAACAGATTTGATTTCCTCTATATGAGTATACCCAGCACGATATGTGACAGAGGGGTACCCCCAATCTCCCTATATCCTAAACACACCCTAGACTATGTTTGCTAACACATCCCCCCCTAGACATCGCGAAAGAATTCCTGAGATTCTGGTACCACAATGACCAACACAAAAGAGCGGTTGGGGGGTGGGGGTTTAGGGGTCCCTCTGTCGCATATCATGCTGCATATGTATATGAGAGGAATATTTTAGACACAATTAAAGGAACTTGGCATTGTGCATTTGCACACTGGTGCCGTGCATAATTTTGACGAACCATCAGAACTTGCTTTGAAAAGGTCTAAAAAGAATTCTGTCAACATTTTTGAAAAGCTGAAAAGTAGGTTTGGAAATAAATACGTCCTCTTTCTGACAGCTTCGCACATGTATGACAATCACAAGGATAGCATGTTTTTTCTGCAGTCGTCTCTTTTATTTGAAGCCCTACTAACAACAAAACTAACCTGTCAATTCTTCTTGCAACTGTTTTTTTTTTTCTATTTCAGTGTTGCCTGTGACAACTCCAGGATGCCAGTTTATTTAATTTTGGGGGTTACTGTCAAAACCTGCAAATTTTGGCCGTTTGGACTGACAGGCACAAAGTTTGAACCAAATGTTCAAGAGAAACAAGTAATTCAAAATTATGTCCCCTCCAGTGAGTGTGGACTTTCTGTTTTTGCAGTGTGTAGTATTTTTTGAATCGGGCATTAGCCTTCAAATGCTTTTAATGCAGTCAGTACAAAAACCCTATAATTATCAGGAATGACAGTAACTGACCTCTCTCTGCACATTTCGTTCTCTCTGCTTTTGGAATGTCACTTTTCAACTTGTTGTCTAACCCCTTTTTATATTAACCCCCGGCACCCAACCACCTGTTGTCCTGCCTTGCTTCTCTCCACTCTTCCCAACACCTCTGCATGCTTTGGTTGTTGAACCTTAGGACGAAGAGCCTCACGTCACCTTTCAAACTCGCTTCCCGAGATTTATGGCCGGTGTTGTTTTTGTTCTCTTCTTCGTAAGTTGGAATGTGTTTTATTTGGACCTCTGTGTCCGTCTTGTCAGTGTTTTTATAAACCAAAAAACTTACGACAAATTAATTTCAGATATGAATTGATGTGTGGTCACTATTCAATTTGTTTTACAAGTTGACTTCAGACGTTTAACAGACTTGAACAAGAAAGGATAAATCGCCAAAAGGGGAAATATTATTTTCAAATTTATTAGTCAAATATTATTACTATCACTTTTTTTTTTTTTTTTTGCGCAAGAAAAGACTTGCACATTGCACTGAATATTGAAGGCAATCAGCTAGATGTTCGTCACAGGAATGTTTGTTCCAAATAAACTGACATTCTTAATTGACTATATGAAAAAAAAACCCTTGTTTAGCATTGGCAATTTCAAATGGTTAAGACCTGTAGCAATGATAAAATAATTGTATCATGAGAAAAAATGTCTTTTTTTACTTCAGAATTTGGACTTCATAAGATACCCTGAACCAGTGTCACTAAAACAAGGTTTACCGGCCTCAAGAGATTAAATTTGTCAAGTTTCAAAAGTCCCAGAATTTAATTTGTGAACTGTTTTTTTTTTTTTTTTTTTTTTTTTTGGTGTAACCTTTCCATACTAACTGCTAGCTCACTGCTCTTTGCTGCCTTACCACCTTACTAATGATGTGTATCAATGCGGCCATATAAAAAAGTATTTGTGTATATCATCTTTGGTAAAAAAAAAACCTACTTTCGATTGTGGGAGAGGCCACAGATGATATACTTAAATATTTCTGCATGTGGCCAACTATAAATTAATTTGTATTAAACCGTTACACTAACATCTGAAAAGGTTTGTTGTTTTACATAATTAGTAGAGCAACAGGGTTCATGTACATACTGAAAAACTTGGTGAACATTAAATGGGGTACATTTTATCCTGTCGCTTTATAGAACAGAAAAGATGTCGAAGTTGAGAAAAAAAATTAGAAAATTTGTATGAAAACTTAGAAGGTACTTTTCAGTATCATATGAACCCCGTTCAAAAGAGAGAAAAAAATCAAGCTTTATTAAGTAAAAGTGGGTTATATTCACATAGATACGCATTCAAATTTTACCTTTGAAAAATGGCTTTATAATGATGAAAATGCATTCAGCATCATATCAATATCATTGAGCAAAACAACACAATCATCTTGTACTAGAAAAGAACACACTAAAATAAACATTGTTATTTTCAGTTACAGAGATAAAAGATGTGTGTTCTATTTGTTTGATACCAGTTGTGATGCCTTGTCCAAAACAACTAAAATCAGAAATAAACAGGACTCGTTTATACTACGCTGCATTGGGAGTCCTGTTTATTACATCACGATTTACTATGTTTTGTTTGCTGCCCCCAACAACGACTTTTACACAAATTGCACGCTCGGGTCGAAACAGGACCTGAAAAACAGCTCTCAAAAGTACCTTTTGTACTCATTTCATGACAGACACAATAGTCGTTTTTATTTCATCACACCTTAGGCTACATATACCCGAAAAAATGACGGAAATGTCTTCGAGCATTCCACAACCTCTTTAACAAGTGAGGCCTGTGCTACACCGTCAGGGTTGCAGCCCTAAACACTCAACATTTCAAGATGTTGGTGCTTTACTACATAATAATAAGCTTTAGTACACTGGCAGGGATGTTTTCACTCTTTGTTGACTTTTGGATTCAATGTGATTTTGAGATTCAATGTGAGTATAACCCACAGTTTGTTTCCCTTGTTTCGTCACTGACAACACAAATTGATCGTGTTGGGTCAAAACGTTGTATATTGGATACGCGATCACCCACCAGAGAGTGTTCTCACAATGATTCGCTATCGCCACCGAACTGTTATCGCAACGATGTCTCGGGGAATCTTGTAAACTCTCCCCCTGAAGAATGGGGGGAAACTAGTGCGCCTGCACTAGTGGTCAATTTTGTGCTGCACGTGTCCTACCTACGACAATCGAACTGCCACGAAGTTGCGCAAAAGTCTGGTAGCATCTTGTTTGCTACTGGCTGAAATTTCGGAGCTTGGCTCAAAGCTAACATGTGTGGTGTTGCATGGGCGCTGCATTTAGTAGGCAAAACAGGTGCATGTGCATGACTTAAGGGCTTCAAGATTCTCGTTAGCGGTTCCTTTTGATAATGCCCTCTTTTGGCGGGTGATTTCGTATCCAATATACCACAACAACAGATTGACTCAAGACAACAAACCGATATCCGTTGCCTTCACATCCAGATTCAGTTTGTGGCGTTGGGCACAATTTGCTCAGCCGTGTGTTACTCTTGATACCAATCAATTCTATCCCCGTTTTTGCCCCTTCCGCGGTAACGGTCAGATATTCCTAGTGTTGGCTGCAGTAGTGGGCGTCATCGTCTACCGTATTGCCATCAAGACGGCCGTGGCAGCGTCGGGCGATGCCTTCATCAGCTCCCAGGCATCTATCATCACCTCTATCACCGCCTCCTGCATCAGCTTGGTGGTCATCATGGTTCTGCAGAACGTAAGATCAAACAAAATTGCTCAGTTGAACCTGTTAGGCTCGGGCAACCGCAGCCATGCCTCCGCAGTCGTGTAAAGGGCACAGCCAACAGGGGTGTCAGGGGTTTACAATGTACGGGCTGGAGTCAAATCTCAATGGCATCATGTGCGTTGCATCTCCGCATGAAAAGACTTTGGTACTGTCATACATGTAGTTCATTTAGCCGCAGTGAATAGGCTGCTTCAAGGATACTAAGGACGCTAGTAGTCTCTTTGTTGCTTTTCTATCCGCTCCGTTCACAAGTACCCCCTCACCGGCAAAGAGAGTATAGTTGGGGGTGACCGACTGACGCCATCTTGCCTGACTGCAATTCATTTGCCGCGAAGCGCGGCCACTGCGTGGACATAGTACAAATTCCCTGGTGTACGTGCATCGCACACAAGGAACAGTGCGCGTCAACCAGCGAAATGTCCCGCCCATGGGGCGTTGTTGCTAGGTAAAAGGGTGCCCTCTTTTGTCGGCGCACGGAGCCCATATCTTTGTCTGGGTTTATTGATTGGGTCTTTGGAGATTTCTAAACTTAACAAAAAGATTCCAGTTTCTTCTGCCCCCTAATTATGCAATTTTATTTTTGCACCTGGTTTCGAGTTCGATTTAACCGAGTTTCTGGTCCAAAATTTCGAGTAAGTGCGGGCATGTTTATACACAATTTGCTATTCTTTTGATGGGAATAAGTTCGCACTTCAAGCTAACAGAGTTTTCGTGTTATCGGAATTTGACTTATCGAGATTTCACTGTAGTTTGTATTTTGAATGTGTTCTTTTGTGTACTTTATAGAACTTGGGGGACAAATGCACGTGGGTTAACTTGTTAATTCCTTTTTTACTTGTTACAGCTGTATGACAGAATTGCAACTTGGCTGACAGATCTTGGTAAGTTTTCCATTGCTTAACATTTGTTTTGCATTTTAGATAAAAGCTGGTTTTTTAATGTACCGGTATGTCTTAATGTCAATATTTGTACAAATTTGTGCAGGTTCCAAAATCCTCGGCCGACACTTTTCTACATAATTCTACTATTTCGGTTTTCTTTAATAACAGGGGTAAGCCCCTTACCAAAGATTTTCACGAGCTGCTCTTTCTCAGTGTTTCGGTCTTTAAAGCTGTTCAGACAAAACTTCACAGACTTGAACCCACTACCACTGCTTATTAAGAGCCTGTGCCTTAAGCGCCAAATCACAAGCTTGACCAAGTCAGCTGGCTAATCGGTACCCAAACGAGCAGCAGTTTATGTCACCATTAGAGGAACGCGTGGCTCAGCAGATGAGGTTTTGGACTGCTGATAGGAGTGTCCGTGGTTCAAATCCAGCCACTGGCAATGTGTGGTGTCCTTGGGCAAGCCACTTATCTCTGACAAGCCTCTCTTCACCAAGGAATATAAATGGGTACCAGCCGTAAAATGGGTACCAGCCGTGGAGTAACCTGCGATGGACCGCCATCCCACGCAGAGGAGACAAAAATCCTCTCCATTGAGAATAACTTGATTCAAGACGTGTTTGTGTTTGGTTTTTTCTTCAGAGCTGCACCGTACAGAGACGGAGTATGAGGACAGCTACACCTTCAAGATGTACTTCTTTGCCTTTGTCAACTACTACTCCTCGTCGTTCTACGTGGCCTTCTTCAAAGGAAGGTAAGCATAAGCCAGCTCAGACCTGGCACGGTTGGGATGCACAATCTTTGTGGTTCTGCACTTAGATAGGACCAGTGGAGTGCTGTGGCCTCGTGGTTAAGGGCACTGGATTCGTGGTCTGTGGGTAAAGCTGCGGGTTGTGGGTTCGAGTCCAGCCGGGGTCATGGTGCGTGTGCCCTTGAGCAAGGCACTTTGTCACTCATTGCTTCTCTCCACCCAGGAGTAAATGGGTACCTGTGAGGGCAGAGATGGTTATTGTGATTGAATAAGCTTGCTTGCGCCTAACAGGCAGCATCCAGCTGTATACTCCCCAGGGAGCTGAGATGGTATTTGGAATGTTTAATTGGCCCAATGATCAGGGGTAATAATAATACTGTAAGCGCTGTGATTTAGTTTACTAATAAGAGCGTCCTTAAATGCCGATTGTTATTATTATTATTATTATTATTATTAACTAGAGTTCAGTTTGTGAGGGACATTGCAACAGTTGTTACTAAAAGACGCAACCCCCCCCCCCAAAAAAAAAAATCATTCTTAACTGGACCCTCCCACACAATTTTCATGTTGATAACATTTTCTAGAAATTTTGGAAGAAAATTTCATTACACCCCGCACAAATATGTGCAACATTGAATTTTGTTCTCTGTCCGCTGTATAAGTTTTTGTTCACGTTAAAGACCACAAAAAAAAAAATTCTATGCCATTGAACACAAATGTCATAGAAAACTGAACAGAGTTGCTCTATTAGAAAATGTTTTGCTTTCCCTAAATAAACAGTGTACTTGGTTGCATCTTCTCCGGAATACTCCGCTGTGGATTTTTAACAGGAGGCCAGAAACACAGGGGCGAACCCTTTCTTTAATAGCGATGTGTTACTGGGTTTTAAACGTGCAAAAACACAGGACCTACGGCTTCACGTCCCATCTGTAGCAATAATGGTTAAGTGCCTTGCTTAAGGGCACAAGTGTCCAGACCCGGGCTCGAACCCACATTCTGCTGGCTCTGAAACACCAGAGCATGAGTCCGGTGTGGTCCTATTAACCGGTAGGCCATGACTCTCCTTTGGTCGGTGGTTGTGTTTTTATATTATACAAATTACGAGCTATGAAAAAATAAGCCTTGGGTAATTTGGGGCTGCCGCCTCTTTTGTTGGAGGTTATTTATTGTTGATTTTAAGCATCTTGTTTTGTTTTTGGTTTTTTGTGAATCTGTAGCTTTCCTGGAAATCCGAGTGAATACGGCAAAGTGTTTGGCTTGCGTCAAGAGGAGGTGAGTGTCCCAGGAACTCTTATGCATGACAAAAAGAGGGCGCCATTTATAGAAATTTATATACAAAAAGCTGTGCGTTCTTTCCGCAATACGAAAACAATTCACACACACCCCCATGTGATTTGTTTTCGTTCTGCTGAAAGAACACTTACCTTTTTGTGATCCATAGACAGAACTTCAAAACGGTTGTTGTGTTTATAATTCTGTAACTTGAAAAGTATGTGAGTGGATTTGAATGATTCTTGCACTAAACGAAAGCTTATGAATTGGGCTTTCATGTCCTAGATTTTGAAAGTGCTACATGCAGAACTTCACTAAATCAATGGTCCCGACATTTGGGTTTTCTTCTTTCTTTTTTTTAACTCACTGTGTACTGTACCAATATATCAATATTTCATTGGGTTTTTTTTACCATACAGTTTGTTTTTCCTTTGCACTTATCTTGACCACATGACCATACATTATTGGGCAGCCACGAATGCCTAAATTTCATGTTTGACTGGCATAAAGGGAATAAACATCATTTGCTTTTGCTGTAATTTTCAGAAATGGATGGAATTGGGGGGTTGGAAATATATAGCAAATATAGTTACACTGACTTTTTTGAGGTTTTGGGTTCAAAAATGCTATAAAAACCAAGAAAACCAATCATTTTCCTGTAGTCTGGTTCCCTGACTCCATTTAAGAAGAAACAGAGCAGTTTACATACATTGGGGAATTGTAAGGTCAGGGAACCAGTCTAGCTGGCTTGTACCCGTTCATAGGTGTGTAATCGATTGCAAACAAGTGCGATGGTCAATTGGGGCCAGTATTTGAAAAAAAGCCAGTTTTTTCCAACACTGGTCGGCCGATCAGCGTTGGAAATTGATACAAAAATACCACTTTTCTTGAAAATGACAGTATACCAGGTGCCATGATTTTACAGGATGCTTTACACTGTCATTCACTAACAGTCCAGCAAGGTATTTCAAAATGATTTGGTAGTTTTATTTTTTAATATTTGCAAATGTTGTATTTTCCCTTTAATCGATATATAAATGATATTTAATCGATAGTGTGACCCAGCGGGATGTCTCCAGGAACTGTTCGTCAACTTGGCCATTGTCATGTGCGGCAAGCAGTTCTTCAACAACTTCATTGAAATCTTCCTGCCGTGAGTTTAACCCAATTTATTTATTTATTTATTATTTGGGGTGTTTTTTTTTTAAGAAGTGAAAAGCCATATTCTAACACAAGATTTGACCTGATCTTTTCATATTAAAGATGGAATGTAAATCAAACTAGGTTTTGCCCTTCACTGACGTATAAACACCAGCAGGTACCCGCTGCTATGTACATCAGATTCGGACCGGCCAACCGATCCCGTTAGCTCGGTGGTCGAGTGGTAAGACGTCTGCACTAGAAAGCAGGAGGTCGTGGGTTCGAGTCCCACCCGAGTGAATTTTTTTCCTCCAACTTTCACTCGGGAGGTAACACACTGAGTATACAGTGTTTATACGTCGGTGAAGGGCAAAACCTAGTTTGGACCTGATCTTGGCTTTTGTAGACAGATCATTTGATTTTTGAGAGTTGAAAAGAGTTGGAAGTTATATTTTTAGGAGTGATGATGCTGCTAAGCGCAGAAAGGGATGTTACCGGCTAAAATTTCATGTGGTAAATGTAATGCAAATTACTGGTTCTCTGCACATTTGGGCTTAGCATATAAATCAGGGGTGTGAGTGACCACTGATAAAAATAGCTGAAAACAGCTGGATAAAAATGTAAAAAAAACCCAGATTTTTGGAAATCTCCTATACTTTTGTACACAGCAAGTGAGGGGAAAAAGCTGAGATCCAAAACAAAAAAAGGCTGAAATCCGCTTTAAAGCTGAGATTTCACACCCCTGCAAATATGCCAGTTATTTAGAGAGAAGATCCGATCTTTCAGTTTATTGCGGAGTGCCGTGGCCTAGTGCTCTTGAGCATTGACTTTGTGGTCTGCGGGTAATTCTGCAGGTTGTGGGTTCGAGTCCGGCCCGGGGTTATGGTGCGTGTGCCCTTGAGCACGGCGCTTTGTCACTCATTGCTTCTCTCCACCCAGGAGTAAATGGGTACCTGTGACGGCAGAGTTGGTTACTGTTCGAGAGGTTGATTACAGCCAAGAGTGCCGAAATGGCTGCCTACCGGCCGTGTATGCTCCCCAGGGAGTTGAGAAGGTTTCAGGAGTGTTTGTCCGTTGAAACGGGGAAAATAATAATTGTAAAGCGCTTTGATACCCTTCTATATAAATGTCTGCTATTCTTATTATTATTATTGGAATACTCTCTCTTTCTTGTAATTCTAAGCAGGGACAAATTTATGCAAAGCTCAGCAGTGACAATCATCAAATAATGCACAAATTTCCTTTGTTTTTGTGCTTGCTTTTGGGTAGACTGATCCTGAATTTCTGGCGTTCCCGCACCGGCCGTAAGGAGCAGAAGGCAGGGAAAGGCTCCTATGATCAGTGGGAGAAGGACTTTGACCGGTCTGAGCTAGGGCCTCGCGGTCTGTTCAAGGAATACCTTGAGATGGGTGAGTAGTCTCAGGCAAATGCAAGGATCGTACTATTATAACCCTAACCCTCCTTAATCCTCCAAAATCGACCAGGCTTTTTGGAGGATCGTGGAGGAATGAGGCTGTATGCCAAAAAAAGTCTTCTTGGCTTAATAGAAGTATGCATTATGTGATGTGCCGTTGTTTGTGGTCTGCGGGTTATTCTTATATTTATAAAGTCACAGACAGTCAAAACTCACTTCCACTTTCCCTGCTAAACTGTTAACAAAGGCTAGTCACCAGCAGTCAGATCACATGATATCCTGGAGCAGTGTGGAGGATTTCAAGCATAATCCAGGCCTATATTTATGCATGGCTGAGCATCAACAACACAAGGTCCGGCCCAAGACCTTGACAAAGTGCATCCTACAAAATCAGTAACGCACTTTTGTCATGTAACCTCAATCCTCCAAATTCCTCCACTTTGGCAAAGAGGATTTTTTAAGGATTCAGGGCGGTTAGGGTTAAGGCTCATTTCAAATTTCAGTTCAGCATATTAACATTAGGCTCGGTTACCTTCTTAAAGGTACAGTCCATCATTTGTAATTTGTGCATTTTGTTCGTTTGAAGCAACAAACGAACTCAAAATCTAAAGAAGGGTACTGAACAACTAACCTGATGAAGTTTCAGCTAAGCTTCACCTGTATATTCCGAGAAAAACAGCATTGTAGAATCTTGATTTCAAATCAAAAGTTGCTGAATCATGTTTTGAATTGGGCCTGAATTCAGCGTGCGAGATGCGTTCTCAATGAGCCGATTGCAGCTACGCGATGCCGCGCACTGATCCAACGAATTATAGCAACTGTGCGCGCGTGTGCGTCGTGCCAATGCTTGCCCGCACTTTGCTGTAAAACAAAACGAACTACTATTTTAAATTTCCTCTGGTGTGTCTTAAGAAGCACTGTTGGAAATGCCTTCTTTTGTTGATTTCTTCAAAATGAAAGCTTTCCAGAAATAATAATTTCACAGGGAGTTTAGTCCCCTTACTATCTTTCAACCAAGTATGTTTTTCAACAAGAATTACGTCAGTTTCTTTTTGGATAGCTGCAAATGATGGACTCCAGCTTTAAAAGTCGCCTTCCCTTGCTCAAAAACAACAAAAATGTAACGCAAATCATATCTCTGTTTTGTCCGGTTTTTTGATCTCCAGCTGTCCAGTTTGGATTTGTGACCATCTTTGTGGCTTCCTTCCCGTTGGCCCCGTTCTTTGCACTGATCAACAACCTGATGGAGATTCGTCTGGACGCCTACAAGTTTGTCACGCAGCTCCGCCGCCCGTATGCCGCCAGGGCTCAGGACATTGGTGAGTTCACCAGTTTGCATCGGAAGACGTGATAACACGCACTGACTGTCTTTATACACCGGCACAGCTGATGGGTTAGAGCGTCAAGATTGCCTGGACTCGCCTCCGGGTGACGTCTAAACACGCTCATCCCTTGTGTCTTTTGCACACACACACAACGTCTGTGAAGTCTGTGGAGGCGGACCATGTGTTGATCTTAATGATCTGTGCATGGCCTTTTGTTCTAGGCCTATTGTACAATTTGGGCTCCAGTGCGCACCTCGCAGTATTGAAACATATAAGGTTTCAGGAAGAAATATCGTACAAATACTGTTGAATTTACTCTTGCGGATCAGTAGTTGCGGCATTTGGCTGTATATCAGAGGTTGGCTGGAAAATTTTGCCTTTTGCGAAAATGGAAATTTTCGGCAAAAATAATTCCGGCAAACAAAGAAGTGTCCAAAGTAACGTGCATCGGCTGTGCCGTAGTTCGAGCAAACATGCGCACGTGTTTAGAACCTTTATGCACACTGTGCGCATGAGAGGGCTCTCTATCTAAACGGTTTATCAGGAAATTGACAAGATCTCTTGCTTCATTTCAGGTGCTTGGTACGCCATCCTTGTTTCTGTGGGCAACTTCGCTGTCCTGTCTAATGTAAGTATATTTGTTAACAATAAACATCTGCTGAGAGAAAAAAAAACAAAGGATAATTTTCTTCAAAAGATGCTGAGAGGTGTTTAGGACTTAGCAGGATTGGGCAAGAGAGAGCCCAGGCACTTTTACTTTAAAGATATAGACCATCATTTGTAATTTGTGCATTTAGTTCGTTTGAAGCAACAAAAGTGTTCAAAATCTAATGAAGGATACTGAACAACTAACCTGATGAAGTTTCAGCTCAGCTTCAGCTGTATATTCCGAGAAAAACAGCATTTTAGGATCTCAATTTCAAATCAAAAGTTGCTGAATCATGTTTTGAATTGTTTTGAATTGCAGCTACACGCGATGTCATGCACTTATCCGACAAATTATAGCAACCGCGCGCGCCTGTGCGTCGTGCCAATGCTTGCGCGCGCTGCGCCGAATAACAAAACAAACTACTAATTTAAATTTTCCTACGGTGTGTCTTCAGACGCACCGTTGGAAAGGCCTTCTTTCGTTGATTACTTTAAAATGATAGCTTGCCAGAAAGATTAATTTCACAGGGAGTTTAGTCCCCTTACTATCTTTCAACCAAGTATGTTTTTCAACAATAATACGCCAGATACTTTTTCGGATGGCTGCAAATGATGGACTATAGCTTTAAGGCTGGGATTGTATACAGGTTAAGATGTAATACAGTATTACCCCTTGCCATACACACAAAACCAATGCGCGAACCTTGTGTATCCTTATGGGCTCCGCGCACAAGTACCCCCTCAACGGTAAGAAAGGGCGAGTAAGCAAAGATCACTCGGAGAGCCTTTCGCATGCGTTGCCGAAGGTGCCCGGCAATAATGCAGAGACGCTTTCAGAATAAAGTTGGTCTTGCGTACGTTGTGCTACATGCGTGCGAACCAGTGTGTGCACGCGATGTGTCCCGTCCATAAAGCTCTCGAAGCGGTCAAAAACGCCCTCTCTTGTTCTCGCATGGAGCCCATTTACTGGCCATGCGGCCCATCTTCTGTTCCTTCAGCGTAGTCCACAAGTTTCCGTACTAATGTTTGACACCGCAATACAAGTGCATATATCTGACGTAACCCACGTATAAAGCGTTTTGATCCAGTCTGACCAGTCTCTCCCATTTTTTCGCAGGCCTGCGTCATCGCTTTCACATCGTCCTTCATCTCCCGTGAGGTCTACAAGTACCAGTTCGACAAGTTAGAGGGCTACGTGGACTGGACGCTGTCCAGCTTCAACACAACCTTCTTCGAGGAGGGTACTGGACCCGATATCGACACCTACCCAGACTTTGCTGACGGTGGCCTGAACGGAACACGCGTAGAGCTGTGCAAGTACGTAGAAAGCAGGCTCCCATTTTTTTTTTCGGGGGGGGGGGGGGGGTCGTTTCCAAATCTGCTTGGGGAAATCCTGAATCTGAAAGTTTTGCAATATTAAAGGTTTGCAATATTAATATTATGGGCACCTTTCCAAAATTACATTTCCAGTTTTTGTGCAATTTGCGCATACTCAGGCCTCTTATGTATAGGCTTAAGTAGCATCAGATGCATAACAGACAGACAACACATCATTCAACGGAAGCTTCGATAAGCCTGTTCGGTATCTTGATGCGGATATGACACTTTTCCCATTGTAACGGGAAATCAGACTTTTTTCCAATTTATTTCCGAAAATCCGATTTTTCTGACGATCTTTCCCCCGCAAAGTTTGCTTTTCTTAAAAATTAAATTTCAACAAAGTTGATGAAAACAGCACCGCGACATCAGTATTGCAAGCGCAATTTTAATCTGTTCTACTAGTCGTCGGTGTAAAGATTACATAGTAGATGCACATAAGTAAGCCTGGATTGGAGTAGTATACAGCTGGAAATATGTTTCAGCACTATGACCTGGTTGAAACTAGTAGCCACGTGCAGAGCTTCATCAAGGCTGTTGCACGTGGAGATCGACTGCAACAAAAATCACATGTTGCACGTTCCTTCAGAGATTTCATATTTAGTTGTACAAAATGCAATGCCTTTTTGAATCACGATGATGATCTTGAAGATGGCGAAGAGAGCAGAAATGATAACTATTGAACTGAAGAGATACAAGGAAGTAATGTTTGTGGAAGTAACAGGTTATCATTGCTCCGGTGAATTTGCTTGGATCATTTATTGATTTGACACAGTCATTTGGTGGCATTCTGCATCCTGTTCCCGTTAATGTTGTATTCATGGTAATACCCTAACAGTCCTGAATCCTCCAATTTTATTACGATTTTGCACACCCCCTAGATTATTAATTAACCCTCCTGCTATCACAGACACAGACAGTCAGAAAACTCAATCCTCTTCCCCTGCCATACCTTTTACACAGCCTAGTCACCAACAGTCAGATCATATTTCAAGTGGTAGGCACAGCTGGCTTATCAATCACCTACAGTCAAAGCATAGCTGAATCAAGTACATAAACGGCCACAGCTAGACGAGCCTGCTTTTATGTAGGCTGGGAGCTCTTAACTGTTGAAAACAGTCACTTGCTTGATTTGGACTGAAGAGGACAACTTGGCACACAGAATGTATGTTTTGCATATAGTAGGGTTAAGCTATGAGAGTCCGGTACCAGACATGCTCTGAGCTACTAAACATTTGTGAATGTGGTTTTGATTGACAGGTATCGTGGATTTGTCCTGGGACCTAACCCACCCTTCGATCTGAAGCTTGATTACTGGAAGGTGTTTGCCATGCGCCTCGTCTTGGTGCTGGTCTACGAGGTAAAAGATGATTTTTCAAACTGCTCCTGGGTGAATGATACTTTGTAATAGCGTTTTCATGTTTGTCGTATCGCAACTATGTAATAATGTTGACACTGTTCGGGTAGCATGGGTGGCTTGTGCGTAAAGCGCTCGCCTCTCACCAAGGTGACCATGGTTCGAATCCTGGTCGCGGATCGCATGTGAGTAGAGCTGTGCGTTGGTTCTCTCCTGTGCCACGAGGGTTTTTCTCCGGGCCCTCCGGTTTTCCTCCCTCCGGAAAAATCAAACACTTTCGATCTCAGGCTGTGCTCCGTGGTCATATATGGGTCGATGTGGCCGGCAGCCATAGGCGCCTTTACTTGCCAGCGGCCCGACCACGTTGTAGCCGCGTCCTTCGCAATTTAGCATACCAGCTGCGAGTGAGGATGATTAGCCCCCCAAATTATTATTATTATTATTATTACTTGTACATTTTTGCCAATCATATTTTGTGCAAAATCTAGTTAAGCCCATCGCTTCTTGACCATCCAACGCCACGCTGGGGAGTTTTAACAGTAGGCCAAAAACACCGGGGCAAACCCCTTCTCTTAGCGATAAGTGTTACTGGGTTCTTTTATGTGCATTGCATTGCACAACACACGGGACCTACGGCTTTATGTCCCATCCGAAAGACGAAGCAATAATGGTTAAGTGCCTTGCTTAAGGGCACAAGTGTCCAGACCCGGGCTGGAACCCACACTCTGCTGCCTCTGAAACACCAGAGCATGAGTCTGGTGCGGTGCTCTTAACGGCTAGGCCATGACACTCCCTTTGGCCTCATTACCAGAACACTATTAAATTACACGAATAAACGTTGAACACTTTTCAACCCTGTTCCCCCACACAAATCTCTACCCTAGCACGTGATCTTCATCGTCAAGTTTGCTCTTGAATACATGGTGCCCGACATGCCGGACTTCGTCAAGAACGAGATCAAACGGGAGAACTACCTTGCCCAGCAGGCCCTGGAGGAGATAACCAGGAAGGACATGGTTGCCAAGCGTCGCAGCAAAATGCCCGACGGCGAGAAAGGTGCCTCAGCGAGGTAAGATGACAAAACCTAAAACGTATAATCTACGAAACCCAACGGAAAATGCCCTTCTCATTCAAAAACGCTTCTTTTGTTTTCCTTCTAAATCAGATCGATTGCTCGTGGTCCCAAACATAAATGTACCAACATTTGTGAGGGTAGGATAAGGTCAAATGGGGGTCAGGGGTTAGGGGTCATGAAAGTAATTATTAATAACTTAAGTAATTTTGTTCTCCCTGGCTTTTGAGCCAGAAAGGGAGATATTGCGATAGCGTATTCCGTCTGTGTGTCGGTGTGAACAAGCATTACATTCACTGTGTGGACTTCCCAACAAAAGAGGTCCACATAAACCAGGTAGCAGCGACGTTGTGTGATCTGATACACTGTGCCCTCTGGAGACAAGCACACAATAGGGAACAAAAGATTGTAAACGTCTCCACAGGGCAATTTCTATAGATGAATACGTCTCCACAAGGTTTTCACGAAATAGATATATGGATTTTTACTCAAAACCTAGGAATTTTAAGGCGGGTTGATCTGTCGCAAATTGAAGAGTTTTAGAAAAGGGATATTAAGTCCGAATTTCAGCCAAGGAAATTAATTCTGGTTAAAATAAGAGCATTTTGAAATTTCATTTTCAAATTCGAAAACTTTACTACACGAGAACAAAGAAATGTCTCCACAAGGATACAAATTTCAGTATGTGTGTGCGTGTTTATGGTGTAAATCGAGGACACACACGTGCAACTTCATCGATTAATTGAGGACAGGAACCAAATTCGAGGACGACCTCGATTAGAAAATGTGTACAAAACCAATGAGAGCTGTTGCTAAAAAAGGTAGAGTATAAACAAAGGAAAAGGGAAGAGAAACAATAGAAAATCCTCAATTTACACCATAAACAAACTTATGTGTCGGTGTGTTCCATTACGGTTAGGTGAACTGTTTAGTGCTGTTATATGAAAAGTCTTACTTCAACCGCAACCAAACTTGGTGACAATAATTGTTGGTTTGGGACCTCAGATGACTTGAGACATTTGAGGTCAAAGGTCATCCAGGGGTCAAATGAGGTCAGTGTTGATTTTGGTTAGGTTAACTGTTTAGTGCTGTCATATGAAAAGTTAGACTTCACTCACGACCAAACTTGGTGACAATAATCTTTGGGTAGGGGGACTTCAGATGACGTGAGACTTTTGAGGTCAAAGGTCATCTAGGGTTCAATTTAGGTCATTGTTGATTTTGGTTAGGCACGCCAAAAAGTGTGCTTACTAACTGACTGTATAAATGTGATGCGATCAGGCTACATGAGTCGTTTGTCGGGAATTTTCATTTGGAGATTCAGGCCAAAATAGGGCCACTTCATCACATCACTTCATCACATTTCTTCATCTTGGTGTTCCAACTTCCATAATTTTTTAATTAAAGATGGTACCTGCATGCGGTTTTCACAGCAGTAATGCTAAGATTGTGCTCTTTTCAAATCTGTTAAAAAAAAAAAAAAAATGACCAGGGTCGACAAACGACTCATTTAGCTTGATCGCATCACAAATACTGCCAGTATGCCAGGGGGATTGCAATACCTGCAGTATCTTTCCTGTTTGACGTGTAGATATTTCACCCGTTCACATCTTTTGCTTCCTTTTTTTGTTTCCCAGCGGTTACCAGTAAGCTTCAAATATCTACACCGGTTGGCACCAAGACCAATTTTCCTCAATCATCTGATTATTTGTAGCTGCTAGTATTTTAATCGTTATACTCTTTCAGTGGAAAACATTATATTTGTTAATTTTGATCCGTATGTAATCCAGCTTCGATGACGGTGTCGGGGGGTTTGGGGATTACCGTAGGATATTTTTGATATACGCAGTTATATTTATATTGCATGATTAGGTTTATAAACAGGTTGTAGATATCAATACAAGTAGGGATAGTATGGATATGGAACTACTTCTCGGAATACTCGAGATATTTTAAAATACCCATTCCATAATGAATACATAATGCATGGGAAGTGTATTCTGTAAAGTTTTGCTTTCCGGACACTGCGTTCCGTTTTTGTGATGGAACTTACAAACAGCAATTTAAGGTGAAATTATTATTGTATTTTATCAAATAGATTCTCGGGAAACTCCGAGTAATAATTGTTAAAAAAATATATATAAAGCAGACCTCATGAACAAACTTCTTCAGCTCAAGTCTATGCAAAACTAGTGCCCGCTATAAAAAAAAAAATGTAAATGGATCTAAATTAATCCAGGCTTGGAGCCGGTCTACTTAAATCCCCCAAACTTCGTTGAAATTTGATAGTTAATCAATATGTTACAGCTTGTTAGTGTGAATTCTAGTTCCGCTGACATCTTGCCCACATTTACCCAATATAAGTGATGCGTCTATGCAAAATCAAATGATTTCTTGTGTTTTCAATTGAACTTTCCTGAGATATGTTGCCAAAAGCGAATAGGTTGCTGGGGGCTTTTCTTTTTCAATATTGAACTAGGCCATCTGCAGTTCACGTTGCAAGAAACATGAATATTTGTTCTACTTTTAAATGAAATGGAGTTATCATAAATACTGTTTAAGTTCTTTGTTGTGTAGTTGGGTTGTAATGTATATTCATGTGGTTTTTTTATCCGTTATATCCAGTTTGCATGAATTACTGGCAAACTTTAAAACAAAGGATGCACATGTATTTAACGGGTAATGTTGGCCTTGCAGATCGTGTGCCTTCAAAACGTGAAAAAAAAAATCTATCAAACTGATTCATTTAGCAGACATGCAATGTTTGGTACCGTGTAAATAATGATACTGGTGATGTGGGTTTTGGGAGCTAGTAATGAGTTTTAAACTTTCCAACAATCGTAAATGTAAGTATATTGATAATCCTTTTTTTAGTTGGACTATTTACAATGTAATGTGCAGTATATGCTCTTTATTGATTTTGTAGAAATAGTGAGGCAAAATAGGGGCATGATGTAGCAATGTATTAGCATTATTGAAAAAGCTTTAAATAAGGTTAAAAAAAGAGGGGGAAAAGGGGTACCAGTTTAATGTAACAGTGTGGAGAAGACATTTATAGCAATTGAAACATTTGCCTGCTTTTTGCCTGTTGGTGCTGTGCTTTTTACTGGCCCGTGCATATAGTTTTACATTCTACGACATAACCGCCTTGCATTCAGACAATGGTTGCTGCAAATTCAGTGCAGTTTAGTGCCAATTTTTAATTGTAGATCAAGCAATTTACATTTCTGCCAAAGCCTTCTACAATACAAAATCTGAGGGAAGTGTACTTGGGGGTTACTACGCAATGTTCATGCGTTAAGAGTTTGGAATGATGTTGACATTGACGATCTTTGGAAGCAGCGTTTTAAATTTGTTTCTGTTTTTGGGTTTGTTTTTTTACACTGGTATCTTGGTATGGTTCCTTGCATTCTGGATTGTGTCCAGCAATGTGAATCGTCGTTCCAAAAATGGGGCCAGTCTAAATTCGGGCACACTTCAAGTTTTGTCATACACCCTGTCAAGCCCTGTGGTGGTAAAATCAAGACACTTCCTTTCTTAAATTATCGTTTGAGAAATTCAGGGGTGTGAAATCTCAGCTTTTTAGCTGATTTCAGCTTTTTTTGTTTTGGATTTCAGCTTTTACCCCTCACTTGCTGTGTACAAAAGTGTAGGAGATTTCCAAAGTTCAGCTTTTTTACACTTTTTTTCCAGCTGTTTTTCGGCTATTTTTATCATTTCGGCTATATTGACATTTACATATCATTTAGTTTAAGATTTTAATTTAACAACTTTTTCAGTTCCCTTCTCAATTCATAATATTCATTACGTCTTATGAAGAAATGTGTACATACATCATCATGTATTGTTATTAAAATTACTCGCATGCAATTTTTGTATACCTTCACAGAATATGAAATTCACTGTGGAGCTGAAGTTCATCTAATGTCGACAAATGAATCTAGACTCTTTGTAATTGTTTAATTTGTTAAATCTCCCCGATTCCTTCTCGCGAATTAATTACGTACCTCTTCAGATTTTAATTCTGTAAAGTATAGTTAAAAATTGAGTATTTTGTAACATAATCATTCCTTCTCTTTTCTTTTTCTTTTTTGATTATTTTGTATTCACAGTTCATGGGTGCATTGGTAGGTGCTACTGATTTTGCAATTTTCTTTCTGTTAATTTGCGTTTCGTTTTCAACTTAGTAAATGGACGTAGGGGCTCAGGAGTAAACTAAAATTCCAAATTATAAACAAATTTTGGTTCTATACGTTGTGTGCTTTTCCTTTGGAAACAGTATATGTGTATTTACTCTCCTATTGGTTGTGTGCTTCTGTTCTTGGGTAAAAAAATTAGGCAGGGAGTAAAGGTTTGAAGAAATTTGCTTCCAGAAAGCGTTCTTAAAGCAAATCATCACGTGAGTGCAACATGGTCGTAACTCGGATTTTTCTCATCTCAAATAATTCAAATTTTAAGCTTTTGTGGAACCATGTAAAGGTTTCATTGATGTGGAAAATGCAGAATATATTATATTATGCATGTTTCATATCAATTAAACATTTGCATGGTGCCACAAAAGTTTAAAATTGGAATTATTAGAGATGAGAGAAATCCGAGTTACGACCTTGTTGCACTGACGCGACGATATTTGGATTGAGCCAATGTTCCATTTTATACTTGATATTTAAAAATTTAATTAATGAAAACAAAAACTGATTTTTTATTTCTATTTTAACTGTATAGTCCTATTTGCTTGACCTGTTTAAATAGTGAGGTTCCTTTCATCCTAAAGTAGTCGTGAATGGTATTTAGAAGTAATTCTTGTTGAGCACTGTATAATCTGTTGGTTGACTGCTGATGTATATGTAGTGGAATTGTATCAAGGGTTTTTTCTTTTGCTTCGTTAAATTTGTATCATGTATTTGTATTGATTTTATTTTGAATAATACAACTGGACGAGCAAATCAAGAGAGCATGCTGTGTTATGGTGGTTTGTTTGTGGCATTTTGTATATTTTATTTTTATCTTATGTTAGTGCATTTTTTTGATTTTTTTCTTTACTTTTTGTAATGTTGTTTTTAAGTTGTGGATTCCCCCTTTTTTTTGAAGGGGGAGGTGGTGATTAAAGTTGCCTTCTCCATCCCCCCCCCCCCCCCCCGGTAGGCCTTCTTGTAGGTGGACGTTTTAGAATTGCCCAATTTTGTTCCAAAACTAGTGCAACCACTTTGCTTATACACATACAATTGTCTTTTTTTTTCATAAGTTGGAAATGATTTCCCATTTTCTTCAGCCAACGAGTGATTTAAAGGTCTCAGTATAAAGGAAATTGATATCCCTTGTTTAATAGACCTAAGACCTAATGACGTAATGGCCTGGTGTACATATGTGCTTTCCTATGGGAGCGAAGTCGGGACGCCAGACGAAGTAGGGACCGTGTACCACATGGGAAAGCAGCAAGCGCACATGACGTCATTAGGTCTCGGCCTATTAAACTTTACCATACCTGTCATCAACATACGCAAAAGTGCTAGAAAAGATTGCCCCTTTCAGCTCAGCTTCGCCTCGCGGAAAAATATAATTCTCCATGGATCGCCTCGGTAGGCTAGTTTCTATACCGCTCGAAGCAGGATTATTTGTATAATGTCAAGTAACAGGTACGGAGCTCTGGAGGTGCCATCCAAGATATTGAGATGCTGAGGTAACTTCACGGAATGAGGACATCTTACACGTAAGATGTCAACATCCTGATATATTTTATCACGGGATTATGACATCGTAAAAATAGGATGTCGACATCTTCCGATAATGTATCTAGGGATGACGGACACCATGCGTAGGATGTCGACAACCTGAGAAACTTCATCAGGGGATGATGACATCCTGAAAGGAGGATTTCTTTCTACATGTAATAACTCCGCTAAACAGCATTCGAAGGGATCTCAGGATGCCGTCATTCTACTTTCAGGATGTCGTCATCCCGTAATAAATTATCTCAAGATGTCTACATTCTACTTTCCGAATATCGTCATCCTTTGAATATCTCATCAGAGGATGTCGTCAACTTGCAAGTAATATGTCATCATCCTAGGAAAAATTAAGTCATGATCTGGTATTTCCAGAGCTCCGTATAAACAGGGGCTGGACAAAGATCTTCATTTATTGACTCGAGAATGGATGACGTGTAGTTGACTTGTGAAGATTTGACAAAGTATTTGATGTGATCTATATACAGGGATGGCACAGCTTCAGACCAGCCATCTACGACAGTAGTTCAGCCAGAGAGCGCAATGTAGGCCACACCCCTGGGCAGACCCCTTGACACACCAGAGAGCAATGGCCATGATGGATCGAGTTACCAAATTTGAGGAGTTATTTCGTTTCTAGAATTGTTCATCATGCACACTAACAATCCCCTATTAGTCTTCAGTGCGCAATTCTGAATGCCCACAACATTACCCTAAGGTATTCCAACTCGATGACTTTTTCTCGGATACTCACATTTCGTACAAAACAGCACACACATTCAAGACTTCTCTTTCTTGAAAGCTCAATACTGGTCACTTCAGTGAGCCAGTTCTAAAAACAAAATGGCCCTTTCCCTGATAAACTACAAGAAAGCAAGTTACTTGTATTTCAGTTCTGTCCGCTATTACAAAATATCCTGATATTCCAATCGGTAATTTCCATCCCAAATTATAATTTAACCCATTTCGTTACGGGACCATACATGTTCTTTGATCTCCTAAATCACTTCACACTGAAGATATGTCCACAAAGCCTAAGCTATCTTGGTTGTTGGAGATATTAGGTTATATGACAACCAGAGAGTAAACAAGATGGTGACTGCTCTATGTTCCGACACCCCTATGTTCCGACACCTCAATGTGCCGACAACTCGCACATAAGATTGTGTAACTCCCGGTTATAGGGTTAGGAATAGGAATATTATGTGCAGTCGGAACATAGGGGTGTCGGAACAGAGGGGTGTCGGAACATAGGGGTGTCGGAATATAGAGGTGTAACCGTTCATCAATGTCGTTAATGTGTCTATGTCTATATACTTATCGGAAACGAATAACATCTTGGAAACAAAATAAAATGATTTCACGACGATTATTCTGTTAATCATGGCCAGCCCAAAGTGCCAGGGAACACTAATCCCACACCTCATTTTGTCAATCTAAATTTTTAAAAAGTTTTTGGAAATTTTATATATTTTGTTTACAAATCACGGTTTACGAATAAGTGTCAGTACAAGAATAGATGTTTTGCAAAGGTGTCATCTGCAATTCCAAAATATATTTTATTTAATCCGTTTCCTGTAGAAGAGGCAGTGTTTGCTCTAATGAAATTATCCAGACACTCTTATAATTACAATGTTGCTAATGAAATATTCATTTTCGTTACGGATTAAATTTTACTTGCCTTTTATTATATTTCCTACAAGGATAAACTTTAATCTGTCTTGGTATTGTGTTATGGTCAGCATCAGTCCAGAATTATGTGCCGGTTTGTGAAGTATCTTAGCTGTGCTCGTTATAGGTGATAAGGTTTTGAAAAAGTGTTCATTTTCCGACTTTGAAAAGTTAAATATTTATCAGTGCATGATTTAGCTGTGTATGTCAAAGATCCTAGTGTGGTTGCTTGAGATTGATAGGGTAGTTCACAGAGACAAGCTTCAAACTGTTTTTATTTACAATGTAATTAGATAAACAAATAGTTCTTAATGTAGATTCGAAGTTTGGCTTGTTAAATTTCATTTTCATTCGAAAATTTCGCTGTTTGTGTTTCTTTACCACTCTTTCTAACATTGGCTTGCATTGGAAAAAGTGATAGTTAGTGTTTGTTTTATAAATACTAAATAGTAAAATGGATACTAAATACACATTGTATTTAAAAATCTGAAAGTTGCGATTCATGTAGTATAAACGTGTCGTTAAGGATGCTATAGTGGGTGCTTTCTGATAAATGTATTTAAATGCCAC